GCAGTTTATTTATCTGCTGGGCCAAGTTATATACGAGTATGACTGATTTTTTTCAGAATTTTAAAAGAAAATAAGGCGGAGATGAAGAATTGACTTTTTATTTGAAAGCAGCATTTTTTCGTGTATTTGCGCCATGAGTTTTATTCCTGATAATTTGGCACTGCACGAACAAAAAGTTTTGCAACCGTTGCATTATGCCATAAATTATTACAAAAATTAAATAACCCGTAACCTTAGGCCTACAGTAGAGTCTACTAACCGAGTTCAACCCTTGCGGTTCGCATGTATCTGTATTGCACCCGTTTTGATACAGTAGGTTACACTATATATAATATTCGCATTGGCAAGTATATCGGATAGCCTGCAACGATCGTTCGGCGCCATATTCGTTTTTGCATTTTTATGTTTACGCTCATCTTAAGTCGGCGTACACCACATTTCGATTTGTTGTCTATATATGTTGCCACAGTTAGGATTCTTACCGTTTAGAACAAAAAGCACTTAGGATAGGATCTACATATTCGAACCTGTGAACCCACGCAGAGTAATCAGAGGTGCGGTGGCAAGCGTATTCCTAACGCTTAGCACGATGAGCCGCACCGCCGCGCGAGCCACTTGAATAAGTCTATATATTACAATAACAAAGAGAGCATTTGTTTACATATTCAACACTCAAGTCTCTACTGCTTGCAACATCATGCTACTTTCGATCTCCTTGATATCAAAATCCAAAGATGACAATAACTGAAACCCAGGCAAAAGTGAAGTGAAATAATAAGAGATAAATTATAAGAGCCGTTTTGTAATGAAATCACAAGAGGAAATAGCGAATTACACAAATAATAATATTTACAGCTGACAGCAGTATGCAAAATTTATTTATTTAATATGTTATGTTCAGGAGTATACTGCCGAATAGTGATAACATTGGCAACATAATATTCATTTAGCCTACACAGACCGTATGTTACGGACCATGAGGCGCATGGTCAATTAATTTCTTAGTTGGGAATTTATTTGCACATAACAAGGCACATCGGGATAAAAAAAGCAACGGCAATTTGGAGAGTTTGAAACCACTGGTAGCCTACGGCAGGGGTTCTCAAACTTTTGGTGTTGCGGAGCCCTTAAAAAGGTTGACTATTATTCACGGAGCCCGAGAATAATGTTAAAATTGATACTTTCCGATTAATATTCCTGAGTAAGTTAAACGTACTTTACTCAATTTATATACTAAACCCTTTTAATAAGGTTAATACAAGTCATAAATAAATCTAAATTTCAAAGATAAGTTGTATATACTGAAGCTGTAAATTTGGCACATGACAGACATATTAATAAATTAGGGGTTGAATCTTTTCCCCTCTTGACATTTTTGGAAGACTTAAAAGACTTAAACCTCAAACATCTTTACGCAGGTGTTTATTCTCCCTGAATCAAAATTTCCTTCGTCATATACATGTATTGTTCTATAATGACGACGATAATTGCTTTTTCGTTCTAGTGGGGAAATATGAGTTCAATGTGAAAAACATGTAACCATATTATAATCATCGCCGACCAAATGCTAAAAATAATAGTTAATAAAGAGGTAAATCGGCAATTCAAATTTCTTGATTAAAAAGCAGCATTCTAAAATATTAGAACCAAACTCAAAATGGAAGATAGCACTATAAGTTTTGTTTCAGCAGACTCACGTGAGAAAAAACGCTTTTATAGACATTGTAAATCACAAAATTTGGTGTTATGTTAGGTTTTCTTCGGTTATGCATCGTAGTAACTGCGAAATTGAAACACAGTCAATTAATTATGCGCGCGATGTACCATTTTTCCATTCTGAAACTACCGACGGAGCCGCATGCGCTAAAATAAATTTCAATCGTTCGTATTTTTCCAAGACCTTGTGATTTTTCAAACGGCGATATCTTGCTTAAAAATAATATCGAGTGCGAAAGAAAAAATCAAGTTTAACAAATCCCAAGATCGCAAAAATACGACTCCAATTTATTTGTAGTTGGCAGTTTATGTTATTTTAGAATAGTATTTTTTCATTTTAGTAATCCTAACACTAACAGTAATCTCGAATCGAACGTGAGTAACGATGAGCACAATTAAATTATTACGATAAGATACTTCAAATGCTCGCATCGGTAATAGAATAGTAATAGAATAGCTCGCGGAGCCCCTGGGTTTATCTCGCGGAGCCCTGGGGCTCCGTACGGAGCACTTTGAGAACCTATGGCCTACGGTATATATCATTCGTATATTTTTATATCAATGTCATGTATCAAATATTTCAAATGTTTCGAATATTTCATTTTCGAATCGAATTACGAATCAGAATATTCCAAGTCGAATATTTCCGAATCTGAATCGATTCAAGAGAACATAATATTATCGTTAACTTTCTTCGCGTTTGAAATAACTAAAAGATAAATCATGATACTAAGGGACTGAAGAATAAATAAATTCAGTGAATGTATCAGATAACCAATATATTACGACAGAGTAAATTTTATTAAATGGTATAGTGATAGTTTTATTCTAAAATCGACGTTCAAAATATATGCGCCATGATTTGGAAAAAGCAAGGATTACGAAGATGCTTCTCTCGCCGGTGAATTGCGGGTTCAATCAAGTTTTTCGTGTACGGTATGTAGCCTGCCTACTTTCTCGAAAAGTCGCCATCATTCAACAAACCGAGAGTTTACAACGGTGTTTCCCAACCAGGGTCCGCGGTCACAAATGAGTCCGCGGAGCGTTTGAGTGAGTCCGCAACGAGCCAGAAATTCACTGCGGGCCGCAAACGTTTTTGCGAAACTTAACTATCAACCAAGTTACGATTTACGTTGGAATTTACATAAAACAAAGAAAGTTTATTCACGTAACATTAATCGAGTCAATAATTACTGGTTACTGAGTAGGGCGGGGCATATTGTCCGATATTCAACTAATAGAATAGCAATTTACTATTCGAAAATTTGGTAATAGGTGACGCGACAGGTCACTTGTGCGTCGCTTAATCAAACGATTGGATTTCACAACGCACTTGCGGATTTCCGGCGAAAACACGAGTCGGCACACGCGTCGATAGATACCTAAGTGGTGTTTCTCGCGAGTTCGAACAACGAGGAATTAATTTTTAAAGACGTCAATGGTGGCAACCCAAATTTTCTAAATGAAAAGCGACAATACTTATACTAAAAATAAAACAGAGAACACCATAACACCATACGTTTTATTTATGATGATCCGCGACCGATTGAAAACTGCAAATCGTAAAATTTCGGGTGCTGCCGTAGTATATGCACCAGCAATGACATGTTTAATGTCATTGGTACCAGGGATTTTTTTCTTAGAATCCTTTGCCTCCTCCACATTAGTACGTAAAGTACTGGAGCGCAGTAAATGCTGTAAGGACATCTCAGATTTGTCAAATTCACAAAAATACGAATCAAAACAAAATATAATCGGGCACTTTACCACGCATTTTTGTGTCCACTGATTGTCATGATATTTTCTGAGTGTTATTTCATTTATTTCGTCAACATAACCGAAAATTAAAATGCGAGGCAGATCCAAATTAAATTAATAATAAAGCAAGGCGATGAATGTGTATTTTTGATTTACTAATATATTTTGAATATATTTTTAATAAGTACTAAATCAAGTTGTACTGTCTAGAAATTTATAGCAGTTAGCAGGCGATACCAAATTCGCAAGATCGCAAAAAATATGTATCAAAACTAAATATAATCGCGCAATAAATTCTCAAATTGATATGTTCGTAGATTGCTGTGGCATTTTAAAGAAGTAATGCTTTCATCTTGTCGTAAGTCGACGCAACCGCAAGTTACCATGAACACAATCAAATTAAAATAGAGACTCATTTTAAATTCTCGTTGTTGTCATGGATTAAATATTGGGCGACAGGCCATTCATTATACACTAAAAAAGTCGGTTCTTTTCATGAAGGCGTAATTGCGGCGAATTTCCGATTTTGATTCAATAAAATTCTGTTGTGTTTGGTTTTATTGTTTCTTCACACAGAGTGCGGTTGCAATAAACGCACATTGAGTTCGCAAGGGTTTTCGCCGGTGAGAAAATAGTCCGCGACCAAAAAAGGTTGGGAAACGCTGGTTTACTAGTATGATTGGCACAGCATAGTACAATGTTAGCTGTCATTAGAAAGATATTAAAAATATCTAAACATTTTATTGATTTTGCTATAGGATATTTTAATAACATTTCGGATTTTTTGTATATCATAGCTGGCTACAATTTTATACGCACATCCATTTTCAAATTTTTTTTCTTCAGGCAATCGTAAGATTTTAAATCAAAATTGACATCATTATTAGTTACGAATTTGCTTTCATTCAATATGTTATTCCTTATATTGAGGCAATTCACCGATTTAATATTATTTTACTCGACCGGGACTGGTAACCAGGAGAGTCCACGGTTCTCCATATGATCAATCCTACTCAAGATTGTTCTTTTAGCCACTGGTTGCATTCTAAAATTCCAAAAGTTTACCTTCTTAAAGTCGACGGTATCGAAGTTACGAATTTGAAATCCTGTATCTCTAAATGCTGCACCAATTAGCTTTTGTTTAATAAAAGCCGGTTCGTAAAAAGTGTTTTAAAAGTTATTCCCCGGTGTTATATTATATCGTGTTTGTTTATTTTACCCTGTGCTGTCTCTGTTTTGGCAATCGGGGGCGTACTTTTTGTACGTTTTACCCAGATTTCACCCAAAGTGTTATAGTCACTTTGGTTTTACCTTAATCGCAAGCTTTGCTCGCCGTCCAAGTAACCCGCATTTTGTTTGTTCGTTTGTTACTGTTGTATTGTTTTGTTTTACGCCAGAGCGACCAAAACAGCATTTTTACTGATTAATATTCATTCCGACAGTGAAGTATTATTTCGACAAGATACTGAAATCAATGACATTAAATGCTGAAATCCAGGTGTGTTTTCAATATCCGCCACTGTAGGCGCTATAATTTCGAACTGGAATATGTACAAGTTTCGTAATCTTTTGTTTTTAATTTAATCCAGTAAACTTTACTGCTTTATTATGCTGTCGAAGTAAGCGGATTTGCCCGATTTCTTTGTGTTTACTACCTCTGTGTGAGTCTGTTTTCAGTATCCAGGTATTGTCGTGTACCGTACCTGTCCTATAGCATAAATCGAAATTATAACTGTTCTTTGTGCCATATATGTGTCGACCTCTTCATTCAGCTGCCTTTGGTTCAGGTCAAAGCTCAAAAACTGCATCAGCATATCTTTTGTTGTTCGCGCGTGACTCGAAACGCTTACGTTAGCAAACTGATTCAATACTGTGTGCAGATGTCCCATTACCAACCAGTACAAACTAGGTAAAAGGATCAGCATGGAGAATTGGCTTACCGCTGCAATCGTCATAGTGTCCATAATATTTTTGGCAAGATCGGACATAAAACTTCACTTGGAGGACAAACATCTACAGGGCCAAGCAGTTGGTCATTCACAGGGCGTTTATTCGGAGGATTCCTGCGATGAGTTTTTTTTTGGGATGCCATTTCCTAAAATAAAAAGTGACCAGACTGGGTTAGTTAAGCTTTGCCAAACGCAGCAGCATGATGGATACGTGGGTCCTGCAGTTTATGCAACCTTGTTCAGCATAACAGATAGAATACCTGTTTACTCAGCAGATGTTATAACACTGTATCCTAACAGTACAGGGTACATGCGACCAGATGAAAAATATTGGAACAGAGTGGCTTTGGAACTTTGTAATATAGATCCCTCAAATCTTCCATTATTTCCTATCTCTTCGAGATTAGGTTCAGCAGGAAGTGACACGGTTGCATGCGGAGCAAATCAAGCTATCAATAGGGATTATAAGGGTAACTGGGAAGCACTTGGTGTTGACAGGGGGCATTTAAACCCAAATGCAATCAATTTCCAAGATCAGGAAAGTCAGGTTGGCACATTTACTTTAACGAATGCTGCTCCACAGTTTTCTGCATTCAATCAAATTGCATGGGAGCAATATGAATGTGTGACTAAATACATTGTCATGAAGTACACCCCACTTCAGCGTGTTTACGTCGTTACTGGGACGATGGGACAAGCAAAGGATCCAGCTGGAAATCTTTTATGGATGAATGATGGAAGGCTGGATAAGAAAAACAGAGTAAAAGTTCCCGAGTACTATTGGAAGGCAGTTTGCTATCCTGGAAATCCTTGGGACTCGACAAGTCCATGGGCCTATGCGATCATAGATAAAAACATAAAGGACGCTGGAAATTCTAGTCCAGACAATATCATGCCTGTAGAGAAATTCTCATCCATGTATTTTGAAGATGACGTATTCGCGGAACCTTGCTTGAGTGCAACGATGGGGCCAATTCAAAATCTCTTCGACGACTGGACAAACCACGTAAACAGCATTTGTCACGGCAGAAGAAGATAAATTTAATACACATATAAATACAAATTGACTACCAATCTCATGTCTTATCAACATATCATAACAGCATTGAACACACATTTTATTTTATAGCATTCGAAACAGTTTGAATATGGTGTTAATTTGCAGAACCCATTAATTAGCATAATTTTAAAATAGTATATAGTGATTATTTGCCAACTTTTTTTTCATCTTTAATGTCTTTAATTCAGCTGCTGATATCTCATTAAATTACAAATAGATGTTACATAACCTTTCTGTTGTTACTATGCCGTAATATTGACCTAAACTTTTGTATAGTATTTTTTTTTCTTCCAACATACCACTGTATACAACCTTTCAAGTTGATGTACATATGTGATTTTGAGACAATGGTTCTCTGATTATGTTTCCGTACTTTCTGTTGAATTCAATATGATTGTATAAAACTAGGTATTTGATATTGTTTTAAACCAGTTGTGTCCAACCTCCGGCCCACAAGAAGTTCGCTGCCGATCCTTGGCCAACTGTTTACAATAACATTATAAGTAAAACTGAGACAAAAAACTTTGTGTATCATACGTTTGTAATGCAATATCACACAAAACACACGACCAAAGCATGTGGTACTTGGTATGACTGGAACGGCAAGAGGGGACGTTATCGAACATTTGGTTTTTTGGTCAAGTAGAGGGTTGTTTGCTCAATATTTCATAAATCTTAATCAAGTTTCAAACCTATAACCTGAAAAAATATACGCAATGAAATTACAGAAAAAAGTATCATCAGGAAATGCTTTTCTATTTGTTTCAATGATATTTTTTTACGGTCAAATATAAATGACACACCAATTACGTGGCACAGCATGCGAGTGTGTAAATAACGTTCAAAATGTGTTTTGCAATAGGAGAAATAGTTTCATGCTGTCTATTTATATCTTATATTCCACCAAAAATTTATGGTTATGACATTTTTTAATGTGTGACCTGCGGCAAGTATAATTTCCGCCACATTTGGAGGGGTCATTTCTATTTTAAGTAGTTATAAAACTGTGCCTCATTTGTAAAATCAAAATTGCCTTAAATTTTGCTTCTTTTCGTATAAATACTACTATATTGAAGAGCAATTTTTTGTTGTTTTCTCCTTAGTTATCAAAAGTCTATTATTGCACTAGTTTAGCAATGAATTGGTGGTTATTGGCAGTGTCATGTAGCTTATTAACGCTATCGGTTGAAAGCAGAGAGTTTACAGTTGATTACAAGAACAATGTGTTTCTGAAAGATGGCGAGCCATTTCAATACATCTCTGGGTGCATGCACTATTTTCGCGTTCCTCGATATTACTGGCGTGATAGGCTTCGAAAGATGAGAGCATGTGGATTGGATGCGGTGCAAACATATATTCCGTGGAATTTTCATGTAGTAGATGGTTCTTATCGATTTGATGGCGAACATGACATTGCGGCTTTCCTCGGAATGGCACAAGAGGAGGGTCTTCTTGCTATTATAAGAGGTTTTCCCTTTTCTGATACAGAGTGGGACATGGGAGGCTTACCCAGTTTTCTGTTAAAATCAAAATATAATCCTCGAGAAAATCCAATAGGTCTCCGAACATCTGACCCAAGATTTTTGTCTGCTGTAAAGGATTGGCTTGGTGTCATACTCCCAATATTGAAGCAATATTTGTATAACAATGGTGGCCCGATAATAATGATACAAATAGAAAACGAATACGGGAGCTATTACGCACAAGATACTACGTATTTAAAATCATTATACTATGATATTGATACCATGCTGAATGAGAATGTCGTCCTTTTTACAACGGATGGTGACGGCGCTAGCTATTTGGAACATGGGCATATTGATGGAGTATTTCAAACAGTAGATTTTGGACCAGGGGCAAATGTCACTTCTTCTTTTACCCTACTGAGAAAATTTCAGCCTGATGGGCCTCTTGTCAATTCAGAATACTATACGGGATGGTTAGATCATTGGGGTGAAAACCATCACAGGACATCGTCGGAAGCGATTTGTAAAATATTTGATGAAATGCTAGCAGCAGGTGCATCTGTAAACTTTTACATGTTTACCGGAGGAACTAATTTTGGATACTGGAGTGGATCAAATGGTGGTTCAATCTCACAAGTTACAACCAGCTATGACTATGATTCACCAATAAGTGAAAACGGAGACACAATGGAAAAATACTTCAAAATTCAAGAAGTTATTTCAAGATACAAACCACTGCCTCATATATCAGTACCACCGAATATTACAACAATTAGCTATGGATCATTGAAGTTAACTAACCAAGGCTCTTTTTGGGACCATTTAACATCACTTTGCCCGGATGGGCCTGTTATAGGATCTTCGCCATTGTCATATGAAGATTTAGATGTGGTAGGAGGGTATGTTCTATACAGGACCACTGTACCACCATTGTTTCAAAGATACGGTGGCCAAAATGTCAATTTAACACTTGAGAATTCAGTTCGTGACCATGCAAAGATATATGTCAACCAAAATTATGTTGGACAACTGGAAAGAGGTTCACAGACTTTAAATTTAGGAGCATGTTCTGAAGGAGATCAAATTGATATATTAGTTGAAAGCAGAGGACGATTGTCTGTCGGTACTGGCATCAATGATACCAAAGGGATTGATGGGAAAGCGAAAATTTCAATTGGCACAATATACATAGCCTGGTTAACAAATTGGGAAATGTATCCGTTGAATTTGAAAAACATGGCTCTAAATTTAAAAAGCAGTGAACAAACAAACGGAGTGAATATGGAACAGGTACCTGCAATATACACAGGAACATTGTTTGCTCAAACAGTCGCAGATACTTTTATAGACTTATCAGGAGGCAGCTGGACAAGTGGTTATGTTTTAGTAAATGGTTTTAATCTAGGAAAATTCCAACCAAAACAAGGACCTCAAATAACTTTGTATCTCCCAACAAAGACTATTTTAACTGATGAACCAATTCTGCATTTCACACTTTTTGAGATGAATCCGAGTCCAACATGTGCAGTGGCATCAAGTTCCTGCACAATTAACCTGATTGATCATCCAATGATTGGGTAAATTTTCACCAACCATATAACGAAATTAATATGGCCGTCTGTAAATACTGCTACAAATGCTATCTGTAAAGATAAGACGGCTATGTGCATAGGATATATCAGGTATCTGTAAAGCTGCAATTGTGAACCATGATTAGCATTCTGCAATGATGAAATTTAATATTAATTCCTCCATTCTTCACTGTATAAAGCAGTATATCTTATACTCCCAAATTTTCAAATCTAGACTATGCAAAATCTCTAGCAATATTATATTGTTTGATTTTCAACACATATTTCAATAAATATCTTCATCATATTAAAAAAGAATTTTATTTAAAAAAATAGCACAAGCTGCATAGGCATAGTATAGTGTGAAATAGGTGATTTCAGATGAGAATTAGAAAACAAAATAAGGAAAAGTAGATACGCAAACGCAATTATTGCTATTCATCACAAATTTAGTCAATGCCACAACCCAACCAATGATAGGTGATTTCTATACAATGATGTAAATAATAAGGTACGATACTTTATTTGAAGTTCACAGGCAGACTCTATTGGCCTACTGGTTGGAGCACAGTGCTAAGAACCTGTAACCCACTTGCCATCGTGGATAGCTTACCGCGACTCCGCAGATTCGGATCGGTTTGGGGTTTAATTACATGAGAGAAGATTGCTAGACTACCTGCTGTTGTGAGGTGGTTCACGTAACCACTGGTCGGTTATGGTTTCCTCCAAGCCCATGCATCTGAAATAAATAATTGGCTTACTATTTTCATACCAGACATCAAATAGATGAAAGCAATTTAATTCTTCGAGTATGATAATTCTGAAAACTAATCAAATTATTGTTTATATCAACTTTTCAACATTCAAATTCAAACTGTTATTTAGAGTATATCTTTTGGCCATCTCTGGCTTTTAGTTTTTTCAGTATTATATAAAGTGTGATCAATTTTGTGGTAAATACAACCAACCCAGTGAGTGTGTCCTTTAAATCAGTCAGGAATTGACATAGCCTCGTCGGCTAATCCAGATTTATTGCTTCCAGAAGAAATATAATCAGAAGTTTTGTAAATATTAGGTGAGGTGTATGGCGCTTTATTTGGTACAACAGGAGGCACCACTTCTTTTTTCTGAGTGAAAACAGAGCATAAAAATACCAAGAGTGCTGTGAATAAACAAAATGATGTGCTTAACTGAAACTCTTACCTCCCAAAAATTAAACCTAATTCCCCCAAGGGCTTTCTTGATAGAACCCATAGTCCCAAACTCAGCTTCAGATTCTTTCAAACTTTTTTCAACAGAATCACAATCTGATTTGATAACTTCAATGAATTTCTAAAAAAGAAAAATATTATGTTGTGACTTGTGATCCAATTTCCAACAGATCGAAGATTCGGAATTCTTAAATTTACGAATAATTTAAAATATTTTTATTTGGAAATTTGCAAACTGGGCATTTGACATCTGGTGTCTTGACAGGAAATTTGTTTTTATTCCCGTTCCCATAGGGATGCCTAAAACTAATTAAATGTTCCATTGGGATCACAGCAATCTTTTGTTCAGTAATATCATATTCCTATGAGCATACAAAAGTTGAAGAATACTTCTATGAATATGGCCCAATTTAGAATACATTCCATATTCGAAAGTATTATTTCAGATTGTATTCAGAATAATACATTATTCAGTTTTAGGCATCCCAGATTGCACACAATTTATTACCAAACAGCATTGCGTGAATGAATTTGTATTGCATGCAATAATTATCGGTCTGCCATACCTCCAAGTCATCAATTTTTTTGTAGATGAGTCTCATCTTTTCTCGTTCAGCTCGAAAATTTTGCAAAACTTCATCTGTCATTTTTGTTGAATCTGTTCGTATCTGAAGATAGTGAGAACGATTTAAACATACATGAATAATAACTCAGTCTACTGAGCAAATAGCAGAAGTTATACCTGAATTTACAGTTGAACCTAAAATAAAACCCAATTACCATAAACCTACCATGTCCAGCATTCCATAAAATTTGTCCAAACTTGAAAGCACAGATTCTATGCTAGCTTCAACATCGATTTCCTGCAATTGTTAAATATAAAAGAAATAAGTCAAATATAATTTTACCTCAATTTGCAAAAATTATTGTTGCAAAACTGAATCAATATATTATATTCATGAAATGGTTGATTGGTTAGCCATTCTGATCTATAACCTGGATATTGGGTTATTTTCATATTTATCTCGGGTAGAGGGAAGCTGACAAATAGAAAACTCAATTATGTAGTGAACCACAGGCCTTGTCTGGTTACTATTTGTTTTAGATTAGGGGTGTGCAACCTGTGGCCCACAAGAAAAAATTGTGTGGGCCAGAGATACCAGTAAGTGCCAATTTTGAATGGTGTTCGGCCCTCAAAACAAAATTTTTAATTCAGTTCAATCTGGTACATGCGAGTGATTCCAATCCCTTTTTGTTGTAAAGCCCCTACTTCACCCATGATGTTACAATGCCCCAACAGCTAGCTTGTGTGAAGCGAACAACACATGCCATCAAATCAATAACCAAAATTTTTGTGCCAGCAACTAATAGAAAGCCTATGTTAAAGAGAAATGCAACCCGAGGATTCACCCAGTAATTTGTCTCTGGCCCTTATGTATTGGAGGTTACATACCTCTGTTCTCAATGCATTGATTGTGGAGAAAGCTGTAAACAAACTTAGGAATCCTCCTGTCACACCCTACAAGATTCAAACCTGCTCAAGGTAATCGGAGGTGAGGTGGCAAGCGACATGATACACCAATAGTCATATGAAAATAAAAACCCAAATTCATTTTTTTACTCAACTTATATAATATACCGGTAACTAAATTTTCATAACATGCGAGACAATATTGTACCTTGTTCTTACAAGATGGGTTGGATTCTATATCCATATATGCTGCATAATCTTCTGCACATTTTGCAATGGACTGGTCTTCTGTATTTTCTTGTTCACTATCCATCACTTTTTATTTTTATATACCGGTATATAACTAATAAATACATTAAAACATCATATCATTGAAATACATAATAGTAGTAGCAGAATAGATTATTCGTTCTAAAATGGGCAAATCATTTGGCATATGATATATCATTGAACGGCATCATAAAATATACATTTTATGGTTGGAGTTTCATTCATTTGAACAAACTACCCAAGAAACAGTCAATAGATTTCTATCAATGTCAATCAATAGACAAATTGATACAATAGAAATATTAGTCAAATATAGAGCAAAAAAGTGAAACAGTAACATATACATATATTCAACTAGATCATATAATTATTATTGAAGATGTCCTCCTTTATCAAGTACCCTTTTTTAAATCGATAAAATGGTTTGCCCATCAGCGCAGTGGTATATGTTGTTGTCAAGTGCTGGTTCACCAGAATAAAATGCTAATTCCCATTGCCACACAAGAAATTGCAACATATGGACTAAGTCTTTCTCCAATCCTTGCAAATTTCCAAAATATTCCAAGTACTCCTTCTTTGTTTCTGTCCAATAAGCTTGGTGCAATTGCTCTTACATAAGCACAAGTGCAGATTAATAACAATACAACAGTCAGCATACTCTGGAAGTTGAAAATTGCTACCATGTTGGTTCCAGGATTTGAACTAAGTATGGAAATAAAGGTTATTTCCTATGCTGAAAAATATGAAATTAGGAAAAAAATATTTAAACACTAAAAAATGCACAAAAAAAGTTTAGCATGTTTGTATGAATACACTTGATTCAATTATAAGTCAATTTATAGTAAAGTTCAATGAGATTATGTCTCTGTTACATGCTCTCCCTCATTGTCTGGAGTATAACAAATACGTATGATTGGAACATTCCAAATCCCATTATGTTCAAACAACTCAAGCTCAACAATATGAAAACACTCTGTGAAATAACTTTATCAAGCAATGAAACTAGGAAGAACAGGAGGTTTTCCTGTGAAGGAAAATGTAAAATCAATGTTGCCGCCCTCGAACCGTTCTGTGGCCCCCTGGGTAGCTACGGCCCCTGATTGAGAACTGCAGTTTTAAACTCTCCGGCCCATAAAGTGGTCCAGATAGTTACTTACAGCATCCTCCGAGCTCATGCATATGGATTGATTGAGTAGTTAGCTATCTCCACTCCCACCCTGGACTTTAACATGACGAGGGCTGTGGTCCACCATGTAAAAACCCTAATAGGGAAAAGCCAATTCAAGCATCATGAAAATTTAGAAAACCTTATGATAAGGTCTTAACAGTTTTAATAACACAATCTATCAATCCATGTGAAATTCGCTTACGTTAACAAAAACAAATTCAGTACACATAAACAATTTGCGCAAGATATAATTAAATATCAATGTCCATTGGTTCTAGAATTTCCTGGGAAGTTTGAGACTGAAGGCAATTCAATATCGAGTCTTGTTCTTTGATTAAAAATTCCTTCAACAAAGTTTCCATGCAGTCATCACTTTTTCTAACTTGTCTTTTCATTGCTTTCTTGAAATCTTCACTTGCACCTTTATTAACGCCTCGAGTTATTCTTTGATGACTAGAAGGGGCATCAGAAAGAAGAATCATTTCAGGTTCGGAGTTGTTTTTTAAGAAAGCTATTTCCTCTAATATGTCCAAGCAAATGATATAGTCGAATAATAAAGTATAAGTGAATTTCTTTTTTTTAGATATCAGATCCAAAGCTTGTCGACATTCTGTTTGCCATTTCGGCCAGTCATGCTGACATAACACTAACATATGCCCCAGTATAGCATCATCCTCGCCAGTTTCCATAACCTTAGCGAAGCTAGAAATGAATATATGAATCCAGAATGGTAAAAGGGTTGAAAAAGATAAAGGCACTAGTATCAGATCAGTATTATTTTGTGTTTTTGGAAAAAGAGATATTGATAACAAATCAAAATTTGTTGCGGGTGCCTTTGAAGGATTTTGATCAGAAATAAGGCTGAGACATTCCATTATACTTTGACAAGCCATCAGCAAATGTCCATTAGTAAAATATGACGACACTAATTGACAATGGCAGCGTAGAAGTATAGGATGGCGTAAATGCGATACATCTTGCTCCATAAGATTGTTAATTCTTGCCAAAGAACTTTTATGATCTTTCTCATATGAAAAATGATCTGATAAAAACAATTGAAACCATGTCCATTTTTCAATTTTCCAACGTCGGTAAAGATGGCTGAAATCTTTTTCAAAGGAATCGTTTGAATGAAGAATGTTCCAAGCATCTCGAGCTACTAAGAACTGTTCTCTTATTTCAATGTCTGACCCTCGTAAAGAAGACTTTTCAGATTCTGTGCTCTCCTGTTTCCAATTCATGAGAAGAACGTAAGAATGACGTGCATCATTTCGATCATTATATATATGGGATTCTAACATCTCCATATACTTTATAGCTGCTTCAATGAGAATCAAAATAGCTGTATAAAATATTTGTTTCTTATTTATTTTCCCAGTCAAATCAGTGCGACTTTTTTTATGCAAGTCTTTGATGTGATTTATCCTATCTTGTAGAGTAGAACTTCTTCCCGGAACTGGTTCCCAATCACACTGGATTGAAATGAGCTTTCTCAATGCTTCCAGTTTTTCCCAACTTTCATCTAGTTTTCCTATTTGTGATGAAGCTATTTTGGTATCAGTTGTGAAGTATGTTGCGTAAAATTCTGCTGCCTTTTGTAACCACTTATAAAAGTGTTTATGCGATATTTCAACAGTCATATTTTTGCAAATAATGGGTAACACCTCACAAACGAGCAGCCGTCTGTAATAATTGAGGGGAGAACTTCCGCCTTGAACTTTTTCTTCATCTACTAATCTTTCTGCTAATGGAATTCCATATTTTACAACAGAAGAAGGATATTTTTGTGTGAGTATCAGCGTCATTTTACATTTTAATGATATGTCAGTTTGTCGGTCAGCACAGATTGTAATCATTCTTTGTTGATTTGCATTAGGAATAAAACCAAATATATCTTGCTTGAATTTATCATTTCCAGAACCTTTATTCTCTAACGCAGTCACTATCATTTCAATTTCATGCCATAGTGTGGATTCATGTGAAAACTCCTGAAGCATTTCAGATAGAAGAGATGCACATTGTTTTGCGTTCTTTTCTCCATACTCTAATTTATATGCTTCGTAAAGCACAGTGAAGTTATTGGGGAAAAGTGATTTAGCCGTCAATAACCATGATCTAGCGGCAAAAATATCAGAATTTGCTAAACTTTGGGCTTGCTGTAGCATCCATTCAGTTGGAGGAACATTGTCACTCAATGTTGGGTCACTAAGCTTCATTATATAGAAAATTACACCAAAACTCTGTGAAATCAAGAATGAAAATTAGTGCAAATGACCAAATGTTTTAATAAAATTAAACTTCATACCCAGTTGAAATTTTTTTATACAAATATAATTGAAATAGATGATTGCTAGAAATGAATGGGTCATAGAAGGTAACAGAGTATCTATCACTCATCCACTGACAGGAATTACAAATAACAGAAGTGCGATGCCCTTGGAAAAGGAATAACATCTCTTATATTATTCACTCCCAATAAAAATCTTATTAGACGATCAAACCCCAGTCCATAACCACCATGAGGAACACCACCAAACTTTCTCAAGTCTGAATACCATTTGTATTCATTTTCTAGTCCTAAAGAAGAGAGACGTTGGTTTAGCACATCATAGCGATCTTCACGTAGAGTTCCACCAGCCATTTCACCACAATGTGGAAAAAGTAAATCAAACGATGCAGATGTACCGTCTGCGTCATCATTATGTAAAGCATAAAACGGCTTTAGTTTAGCAGGAAAATTTGTAACAAAAACTGGGCGATGACCGTGATAAGTTGTTATGAATTTTTCATGCTCTATATTCAAATCATCACCCCATTTTATATCTGTGGATAATTTATCACGGTTGGATTGTAAAAGTTTAACAATATCTTTGTATTCTATATTCAAAAACGACTCATTCGCACATCTTTCAACAATGGTTTGGTAATTCGGTATATCTGCTTTTTGATGAAACATTGAAAGTTCATTATTGCATTCTTCTAATGATTTCTTAATTATATGACGTAAACTATCTTCGAGTATATTTAATAAATCTTGCATTGACTTTGTGAAAGCCATTTCAATTTCAAGCATATGAAATTCGCTAACATGCGTTCTTGGTCTACTTTGTTCGGCACGAAATGCTGGACTTAGCGTATAAACATTTCCGATTCCCATTGAACAAGCTTCTAAATGCAGTTGACCGGAAACAGTTAAATATGAAGGAATTCCAAAGAAATTCTCTTTTTCTTTCTCATCAGTGTCTAAAGTTACAGAAAATAAGGCACCTGCTCCTTCACAGTCATTTGAAGTTATTATAGGTGTATGAATATGTGTAAAATCATTCTTCTGAAAATAATCATGTATCAGCATTTCTACCCGATTACGAACTCTCAAAATTGAAGCAGTCATATTCTGGCGAGGACGCAAATGAGGAAACTGTCTTGTATAATTAAGAGGGTGATCATATTCACTTTGAAGGGGATATGACTCTGGATCGCAGGTGCCATATTGTTTAATTGATTTACAAAGTATTTCCATGTTAGGGTTCTTGTGCTGCCTGTGAATTAGTTCACCAGTGATTTCCAATGCAGAACCATAAAAATACTGATCAGTAGAAAATTCTCCAGTCGATAAAACCACTTGTAAATTTCTTATACATGATCCATCATTGATATCCAAAAATGCAACTTTTTTATGATTTCGAACAGATTTTACCCAGCCATTTATGTTCACTTCAGTGTTTGACGGTATTTCTGATAAATTTTTTATCCGAACCTTTGTAGCGGATGAGTAAAGTCTCCGAAACACATGGATGAAAGACATTAATCTACTGACTAACTATGTCTCCATTAAGTATAAAATAAAACTATTTTAATAGTATTTACATAGGATTTTCATATTTATATTGGCGGGAAAGCTGATGAGATGGCTTTACCGTTATGATATAAGAAAACCTTGATAATAGAATTATGTCAGATTCCAACATCTACATGGCATTCTGACATCTCCAAAATGAAGATAGGATAGGATTTACATATTTATCCCAGGGGAGAGGAAAGCCGATAAGACGGCTTATCCATATGGCGAACCACGGCCTCCCGTCCGGTTACCATTCCGAGTCGGGTATGGGATTAGTTTTACTGTATTGTTTGTTTTCGGAAGCATGGACTTGGTGGTGGAGGAAGCCGTAACCGACCAGCGGTTACGTGAACCACCCAACGACGGCGAGGAGTCCAGCAATCCTCTCGCACATAACCATCCCTGCATGGGATTCGAACCTGCGAACCCACGCAGAGTAGTCAGAGGTGCGGTGGCGAGCGTATTCCTAACGCTTAGCCCGTTGAGCCACACCGCCGCGCCACAGATAACAAGCGATATAATGATTAACATTGTGGCCTGCCTACTGATATAAATCTGTGCGCAATATTTCTTTTTTTAATAAAATATAAACCAAATAGCATAACTGTACAAACTATCATAAAGTAGGTCTGTTATTCATTTTCCGTATGCTTATTCACCCCAGCAGAGGCTATATGAAAGTGTTGATACCAAATCCTGACATCATCATACGATTAATTAATTTTTAAAATAGAAAAGTAAAAATACATGCGAGTGTATACGAATTGATTTAATAATTTTAGGTGAGTGAACATGTACCACTTCTTTTTGGCAATACTTTCCATCTTCCATTCTGTATGTTTTAAACCTTATACAAGGTTTTGTTTACTCTCCTGATTTCATTAATAGTTTTTATCAATCATTTTATCGCCTTTTTCAGTTTTATGCGGATTATGGAGTCGAAATAAACTTAACTTACATAAATTAAAAGAAAAAAGGGGACATAAAAGATATATATACATTTTATGCATATCAGTAAGGGTCTTACTACTTACTGAATACAGCGCGAAACAGAAGGAAACCAGCGCAAAACAGAGGGAAACAGCGCAAAACAGGAGACGCAGTCATTACCACCTCCTGCCACGAAAGAACCACTGCGCCTCCCGCCATGGTTTTATGGCGCTATTTCCGGTATATTCACAAGGTTATGTACTGGATTATGGGTCATCATGCGAAATTTTATCTACCTTTTTGGTGCTCCAGAAGTATGTGCAGCAATATGTCGCACAACCTGAATCCGGTACACACACACACACATACCATTTTCAGGTTGTGCGCCATCTTGGTGCACATACTTCTGGAGGTCCCTTTTTACCTAACCCTAAAGCCAACCATATTCATATGGAAAATGTTCTAAATTATGGTACCCAAAATGTGTCACCAGCAGGGGCAGACCTGCCATTACAGCATTACTGGCTACATACGTTGGTTTGTGTTTTTAATTTGTGTTTTTAATTTGCTGCCGTGGTACTCCAACTCAAAACAAGGTGCCCCGAACTCATTGCAAAATTTTTTTCTGTTTCACACTGTTTCCCTCTGTTTTGCGCTCTTTCGCGCTGTTTCCCCACTGTTTTGCGCTGTTTCCCTCTGTTTTGCGCTCTTTGCGGTGTTTCGCGCTGTATTCAGTAAGTAGTAAGACCGTATCAGTACTGCAGTAAGGCACAGTTCTACGATTCCAAGAATAGCACCCACATTAAAGAGACATCAATTATAACAGTTCAGCAGTTGAGTGCACCAGTAGATTGGACTTCTTAGAAAAAAAAATCTGATTCACTGAAGGAAAATAAATTTTTAAGAGTTTTTAGCAAAAAGGCACAATTTTTTCGTCATGTTACGGGGCATAAGTTCAATAAAGAGCAAGCTAACATAACTTTCCATAAGTCTGTAAGTATAATTTCATGAAAGTGATTTCAAAAGAATCAAAAATGTAACTAAAGTACTCACAATTTATGAATAGATGACTAACAAATTCCAGGGTCCTTTCCACATAATAAACTTAAATCATTTCATGCAATATGCAATCTTATTTCAGTATTACTGATTTAGTTTTAATTTTTTTACTGGTAAACTATCCCACAATTACTGAATTACAATAACTCTTAATTACAAAATTAAAAGTTTTATATAGTAGTTCAGAATATTATTATGAACATTTTCACAAACCCAATTTAGGTGACAATTACGAATGCACAAAACATTTAAACGGTTCATCTCCACTTGCAGATCTGTCTACAGCTCTAGTAACAGAAGAGCATGGTTATAGGCTTGACAGAGCCTTGTTCCCACACGTGCACCTTTTAATAAGATGCTGTTGTGTTATGGTATACTTTACAATCATTTCGTATTGTTCAATAGGGCTACATCAGGCCAGACTAGGGTTGTCATATCGTCCGGAAATGTCCGGAATTTAGGGTTAAATTTTGCGTCCGGGAAGAATTTAAAAAATGCTCAAATGTCCGGAATCCGGAATTTTACTGCATCTGCAATCGTACTGTGCACACTGCTGATACCGGTATGTTAGTCGTTGGCTGATACAGAACATTGTTATTTCGTACTGTGCGCATATTTTTTACTACGAGGTCATAAAAATAGTCATGCACTGTCCGGAATTTTGCTTTTTCAAATATAGTGACCCTAGGCCAGACTATATGGACCTTTCCCCGACCTTTGACCCTCGGAAAATTCTCCCTATACTTTACCATTGCAAAATTGTCAAGGCTATTTTAAGAGTGCTTTTGCGAGTTGGCGTCTGTAAAATGGGGTATGTGTTTCAAATCATCATTATGATTCATCGCGTACAACAATCTGTTTTTTAAAAGTACCGGTAAAGAAATTCAGGCTAGTCTATCACAGCTATTTCTACACTAATTTTTATTACTGCAATTAAATGAAAACTCCTAGAAAGACAGAGTGATCATTGAATTATCTGATTTTTATTCAAGTTCCCAAAACACAACTGAAAACTAACGAATAGAGTTCAAAAACGCGAAAACGAGGTAATGTTTACAATCGCGCTTGAAAATCTGTCTGAGTGAGAAAAGTGTCTGAGCGGATGCGAAAAGGGGGCATTGTTACGTCACTTTTTGCATCTTGCTGATTGGCCAATGTCACGAAGTAAACAAGGAAGTCGATGCTCAGGGAAAGGTCCATTACATTACCGGGTTTTAAAATATTTCAATGCGTGTCTACGAATATTCGTAGGTTAGTATCCACAAGAATAGCTTATTGTAAGCTTTCGAGGTTGTAAACTTGTAATATTAGAAAGCAAAATAAAAAAAAATATTAGAAAGTTAGTTAGTTTTTTTTAAGCGTTTTAAAATACGTCAATCTGAATTTATGACATCATAAAAAATTAAGTTCTCGCAGACTGAATTAATTTAATTTATCTTTATGACATCATAAGGATAGCCGATGCATAATCGCTGGAGCGATTTCAAGAAAAATGCACACGTAGAATTGTTCCGCCTCATTTCATTCGCATTTTGCTGTCGTGGAGTGACGACTCATCGCAGGAAATTTGCGTGTCGGGAAAGGTGTTATTGCCACGTTTAGTTACATATGGTTCAGTAGTGGCATACATTTCCCAAAAACTATGGAAGGTATGGGAAAGCGGCTAGGCATCTTTGCATTTGTGTCCATTTTGGCGTGTATTCATTTAATATTTGCAAACGAGAATGCCGGCGAGGAGCACCGTAGATTCGAATACAAATACAGTTTTAAAGGTCCGCATCTCATGCAAGCTGACCACACTATTCCATTTTGGACGTTGATGGGTGGTAAGTTTGTTTACTTTAATAATCATTCAGTTTCGCCATTATTTTTCTGCTTTAATATGATATTTAGATACTATAAATAAATGAACATCCGTATTAGTTATAAGTGGTGAAAATATTACAAAAACAAAAATGTTAAGGTAGTCCAAAATATCCATATAGTTTAATAATTATAGTTCTACTCTGTTTTAGTCGATAATTCTATCACGAAATAGCAGATTCAAATCTGAATATAGTGCTGTCATGAGATAATACAGTAATATAGCAAAAATTTGTCTACAATTACAGAATTAATAGAAATTATGTTTAATATAATTTGATCACAAAATAAATTGGATAGGCTACATTTCCTGCCTTTTTATTGAACGAAAAAATAGGCTACATGATAAAATATACAGATTTTTATTGGTACTTTGTCAAGCTCATTTAAATTCATTTATATTTAATTTAGATACTGTTGCTGGAGTTAATCAAGTCAGGTTGGTTCCATCTATTAGAGACAAAAAAGGTTTAGTTTGGTCAAATCATCCATTTCCATATGATTCATGGGAAATTGAAGTTCATATCAGAATTGAAGGCAGAGGAAGAGTTGGTGCTGATGGCCTGGTGAGATTTTTCTCAAACTCACTCCATTTACTAAGATATATTTGATTTGTGGTTGAAATTTGGATATAGAGGTAAAATTTTTGGTAACCAGAAGAGAGTAAAAATTGCTTTTGCTCTTGAGTTTTGAGTCCTGACGTGATGTCTGGTTATGTCTGTCATATCCTGCTCAAATTTACCGTAATACCGTTCCTGCATAAACAGACATTTCAAAAGAGAAACCCCTATCACAAGAAGTCTTTATCTAGTTAAATGTGAAGCTATAATAATAATTTTTTTTGTTTACTAAATGATGCTCAAGCAGGTTTTTCAAATACATCTATTTCCAGTGAATGCCCGAAAATACTTATTTATCAAATGACTGTTGACTATGTTCAGTCTCTCTTACTACTTCATTGCTTACGAGTTCTATCATGTTTATATCTATAGTATATGGCTATTGGCTACGGACTTCACCTCCTTGTTCGTACTATGCAAACAAGGTACACAGATTCATAGTTTGTATTTTATCTTATTTCAGGCGATTTGGTACGTGTCTCATACTCCAGAATTAGGTCCTGTATATGGTTCAAAGGACTATTTTCAAGGTGTAGGAATATTTCTTGACTCCTTTGATAACAACAACCAAAATGACAACCCAGTTATCATGATTGTCACTAATGATGGTAGAACAGAATATCACCATGCGAGGTACATCTTTTTCATATACTTATCATTGGTGACGAAATATATTTAAAAAATGCAAGAAATACTAAAAAAAACTCGTTATTCATTGTTATATTCACGGCCATGCCTTACCCTATTGAGTGATTCAAGGGTCTTGCTTCCTCTATTCATAAATTTTGCTAATACATATTCTGAACCTATTATCTGAAGAAGCCTGGTTTTGGTCACATCAGTGCACCCAATCTTTTTAATACATTCCTACCTCTGCCCCCATGTTACAACTCTTCATTCCTCCCTTACTGTGCATAAAAAACTCAGTTTTAAAATGTGTTGTTAAATCTTCAAGGTATCATTTACTAGTGGTATGCACAACCCCCACTCTGGTTTGGACAGGTGTGCGTAAATATGTATTACAATAAGTCTTGATAAATAAAGAATTTTTATAGTACTACTCGGCACTCGCAAATGCAATATCTCACTGGCCAGATGAAGTGTAACAAAATTAAATTTGTAAAAATGTTAGGCAAAAAGTTTGATCCTATTAATATAGCTGTTGTGAATGTTCATACAGTATCATTGCAAAATACAAGCACAACAGCAGTGAGGAAAGTGCATTAGCTTGATACACGTTACACCAATTGACTTACTTATTGACTCCCTTCTATTTTTATTTCAGTGATGGTGTGAATCAAAATTCCGGCAGTTGTTTCCAAGATTTTCGGAATAGACCATACCCTGTCAAACTCAAAATTAAATACTCAAATGGTCTGATTACGGTAAAAATATAGAACTAAATTATTTGTTATTATAGAATAACTTTTCATGCATGCATTTGACTTTTTGGGTATTCTTAGATTATTTCTTGTTAGTTGTAGTAGACTATTTTGATATTTGATTAATATAGGTACAAAATTTATTCTACTTTTTTATACTCTCTCAATTATTCATCATGTTATGTTGGCAACAGCCTTTTATATTTTAACTCGAAATCAATTTCCAAAATTAGTCTGAATAAATTTATATCTAACAATAGGCTACTTAAATTTTTATCTTGAATAAAAGCAATATATGCAATGCTAATAAATCTGTTGTTATTACTGTTTTTCATATATAGGTCAGTTATGATCCTGGCAATTTGGAGGATGGTGATTATGAAGTTTGTGCTTCAGCTAATATTAATCTACCTCCCAACTATTACTTTGGTGTTTCAGCAGCAACTGGAGGCCTCGCAGGTAAGTTTATACCTACACATTATCTTGTATCAAAATTATATCTAATATCTGTATCAGTCTTTTGCAGTATTTTGAGTTAAATTTAATCATTAAATAAATAACCGATTTTGTTGTTGCATTGTAATTTGTTTGGTAAGTTAGATCAACATGTATTTTTTAATAATCCACAATGCTCCTATTTATTCTTCAGATGATCATGATGTCATCAAATTTTTAACATGGAGCATATCTGATAAAAAACTAACAGTAAGTATAATTTTATTCATTTTATTGAAACCAATTTAGTTGTTGTTACGTAAATACATCATTCATCGTGTATTTTTGATTTGAACAAAATGATCACATAGCCAGAATATTGGCTCAATTGGACACACATATTTATAGATAATATGATAGGGAAAAAATTTTCTTATTTATCCGGCTAGCATGTTCGTAATGCCAGCACAATGGGCCAACTGTTGAGCCTTTCCTTGTGAGCAAAGTCTTCGGTATTAATATAATAATTCTATGTAAGCCTGAGGAAGAACAAATCCAAGAAGAAGAGAGAAAGAAATTGCAAGAGGATTATGATAAGAATGTAGAGGATTTCAATAAAATGCAAGAAGAATATAAGAAGCAACATCCAGATGCTGCACAAGATATGAAAAATCCAGAAGAACTGGTAAGAAGAAAACAGATAATATGAGATTTACGAATTTTCTATTTTTATACATTCAGACAAAGAACATTAACCAATGCCTAAATGACAAATATTCACATGAAAATATTTTAAATTAATATTTTTGTCTCTTTTAGGTTGGTTGTACAAACATTGTAGAATGGAAATATAATTTTCAAATTAATTTTCTATTTTAGTATGAAGGGGCGGCGTCTACAGAGCTACGATCAATTTTTGATGTTCAGAATAGTATCAAAAAAGACATAAGGTAAGATTTAACTTATAATTAATATACTATGTTTCACGGGTCATAAAGACGCAACAGATACTGGTACTGGTCTTAGGTAGGCAATATAGCACAAAGCACTACCTGATCCATACATTAGGCGCACCGGCACAATTGTTCTCTGAGGAACAAAGGGATTTAAAGTATGCTTTATGGTACATAAAATATGGTAATTAAATTTTAAGTGGTGAATCTACCACCACACCATTGATCTGAAGACTGTTATTTTGTGTACTCGAAATAGAGATCTTGCTGTATGCGGGACGACACAGTCTTCTTTATGTATGACGTTTATATATCTTTACTCGAAATAAGACTCCGACAAGCGACCACTAACGACTAAGAAGCTACTGTTTCGGAATTCTCATATACTAGGCGAGGTATGGGCATGGCGTTTGAACCTAATATATTTGACCTGCCATAGTTGAAGTTCAACGATCAAACCATGTGACCACCGAAAGAGGGATTTTTGAAGCTGGAAGCAGATACTTTTATAATTTTTTGCTCTTCATTCCATTAGAAAAAGAAAGAGCTAGTTTTTCAACCCTGTTCAAGCTTACAACCAGACCATATAAAATTCATCACTATTTTGCAATTTGGGCTTTCACAACTTGTTTTCAATATTTTCAGGCAAATTTCCATCAGTTTGGATCAAGTGTTAGAACAACAGAGTTTTATGTTTCGATCGTTGGAAAGTTTGGATACAAAAGTAAAGCAGGGTGGTGGTGATGGGAGTCAACAACCACATATACCAGCTGCTGGAGCTGATGACTCTGCTAAAAAATATCATATCGATAATGTTTTAAATATGCAGAGAGAAAGCTATGATTCAATAAAGCAACTGAGGTATGAAATTTGTTCTCAAAGTTTTGTGATATGTGGAAGCGCAGTTCTTACCACTTCTTGGCGGCTCCTGCCACGAACGAACGTGGCGTCTCCTTTCATGGTTTTATGACTCTATTACCGGTATATTCACGAAGTTTTAGTTTATCTTGCGGAATTGTATCTACCCAAACCTAACCCAACTCCATCATAAGGAAAATATTCCAACTTACCCAAAGTTTGTCACCATCCGGGACAGTCCTGACATAACAGCCTACTTTCCTTGGTTTGTGGCAGGAAAATTTTACCCACTCACCTAAGTTCCCTCTAATTTTTTGTAGTATGTGTGCGCAGAAATTTTGTTGGGTGCGCACTTTTTTCGAAATGACCAATATTTGTGCAAAAACCTATGAAGATATTTTGGCGTTCTAACCGGGTAATGGGTGGGCCAACAACAAACTTTCTCAACCTGCCAACTGAGAACATTGTTACATTATATCGAAATACGTCTGTGCGCAGTAAATCCATGCGTGTGCGCAGCCTCTGAAAGCTGTGTGCGCGCGCACACCTTAGAGGGAACACTGCCACCCACCATAGTGTTCAATTTGCTGCCGTGGTGCCCCGCCTCACACCATTGCTTTGTGGCAGCCAAGAGGTCAGCCGCCATGGTTTGACCATCGCAGCCATGGTTTTGGGGCAGCTTCAGACGATACAAAATACTCAAAACTGCACTTGGATATGTGCCCCTCTTCGCTTTTGACAGGTTTTCATTAGTAATATTATGTGCCAATTTTAGTATTAAAAAACCAACAAATGAAAGCAGAAGAATAAATGCAACACAGTCAGAACATGAAAAATTACATGAATTTACTTGAACTAACTTGAATACAACAATCAGCTATGATTTCAAATCAAATTTATAAATGATTATGGGATAAATATCTATTTCTAGAGAAACTCTGATCAATTTGCAACATGTCGTAAATAACATGGATTTGAGAGTTCAGCAAGGGATAGAAAGAAAACCAAATCAAGGAGGTGGAACTGATTCATATGAAACTATTCAATATCGGCAAGCAATGAATGAAAAAATGCACGATTTACAAAACGACATCGCATCTCTGTTACGCCGGCCTGTAGTGAGTTTGAAAAATTCTTTATATGCTTTCAGGAGGCTTTGCAAACTTTTGCTCCAAACTAGACCCTTTACTACAAGTACCTGCTTGGTTATAAAGGAAAAATATTGTATCTGTTAAATTGTCGTTGTTCTGGTTGTTTCTAGTAACTTATGGACTTATCAAATTCTAAATTCAGAACATTATATAGGAAAAGTCGCTGGAAGGCATGTGGTATTTGACCCAGTGTTTATGAAATTAATAAATTTTTGATATGATATTAAAAGATTTCAGAATCGCTCTCTTGGTATCGACATAGCCGACTTATATTTACATTACCCATGTAGTTTGTTGAGTCGAATACCGACTGATCAGGGAGCGAACCGTAAAGTAGAACTAGTTGAGGAAGTCCAACATTTTTATCGAGAATGCTGTGAAACATGCTTTTGTTTTGATAAAATCATGAATTGTTTTTTGTTTCAGGCTAATCCACCAAAGTTACATTGTCCTGAGCCAGAAATGCCTTCTTGTATTTCATTTGGAGTATTTCTTGCAATAGCGGCTGCTCAAGTTATCATTTTACTTATCTATCATTCCATGAGGTAAGATTGTCAATCAAGTGTTTCAAATCTTTGCAGATTTTTTATGGAATATTATTACAAGATACATATAGCGGGCAACTGGCGCTAGGGCTGCGTGAAATTACATTCAGCTTCGAAACTATACTCCAGCAAACTTTGACCTATGCAAGCACTCTTTGTTTGTTAAGGATAGTTTTGAAGTGTTATACTAGCAAATTTTGACTTCTAAAAATGTGACTCTGGCTTATAGTCCTGATTAGCATGAGAAACCGGTTGAAGGGAATTGTGGTTGACGATTCTGTTTTATCATTTGTGCCTAAATATTGTCCCTGTATACTCGGAATACAGAAATCATGTCTATTCTAGTTAAATTGCACTCTAAAAGCCTAACACTAAGTCTGAAATAACAACACTGCCTCCAATGCCATTAAACATATTTGGATCTTCTTTTGTGTGTTAATACAGGGCTTCAAGGGAAGATGCAGCTAAGAAATTCTTTTAATGAACAAAAGATCGGAATTAAGGTATTGAACTGATTTTCAAGTTGGATTGACGTGATGTGGGATTTTAATACTGTGTGACGAGAAAAGACAAGTGTCCAGAGTGTTGAAAAATTACAATAAATATGGATAGATTAGGACCAAAAGTCTTGAACATTTTTTTGTCATATGCTCGTTCTCACCTTTTTTCTTATTATTAATTGGAAATGGTAGATTAATTAATTGGTGGTGGGTGGTACAATTTTTAATATTATTGCGTGGTCGGAGTGTGTGACATAAGAAATTTATTCAATTTTTTTTTATTCATTGTATGTAGATTTCTTATAATATTTTGACCCATAACATTTGAAGCTGTTGAAACGAAAACCTCCTCTATAGAGCCATTGAAGTTTTTTGTCTGTATACCTAATTGCTAAAAACAGTGTATATTACCCTTCTATATTTTGTGCAATTCTATGAAACTGCCTAAAGTGAAGCTCTCTAAACATGCCAAGAGAAGCAATCGTATGAAGCATCACCATGTCATTTTTAATTTAAAATATGATTATTTAAATTCAGTGTCTGCTATTGAATGCAATAATAAATAAATATATATAGAATCTAGCTATTTGTGTTTTTGTTTTAGTGTTTCTTGACCCATTATAAAATAGAATGAACAATATTGCTGTGCAGGGACTGAGCACTAGTGTAAAAGTCAGGGGTAAGAAGATAGTTTTGCATTTCTTTCATTTTACAGTACCTAAAATAGCGTTTGGAAATTATTTGGTATCTATGGCGATTTTATCATTCTCCCGGTGTTGTTGACGATTAATATAGCTCGGTTTATGCCGGCAGATTCATTTATGAGCAAAGACAAAGGATCACAGCCGACAGGAAAGATTTAGGATTGAGCCAGGAATGTCTTCTTGCATTTGATTTGGCATATTTCTTGCAATAACAACTGGTAAGGTTGTCATTTTCCTTATTCAATGAGGTAACTCTGGTGGCTATCGGTTTCAAATCTTTAAATATATTGTTGGAATATTATTACAAATTTATAGTGCAAGCAATTGGCACCAGGGCTGCATAAAATTACATACTAGTCCAGGGATAGCTAATTATCGATTTTAATCGGTAAGTATGTTGATAGGTATTTGTCCGTCTGTCTGTTAGATGCACGCGATATCTCATGACAGCGAGATTGAATCTGCTCCAGATTTTGCATGTGCATTCATCATGTCGGACCAGAAGCCTATTAATTTTGGATGAATTATGTCGTATAATTAGCGAGTTATTAATTAATTAGTGATGGGACACAAGGTGTCACTATGGAGTAAGAGCGCTGTTTTGGGGATCCCGACTTTCAATCGATAAGTCTTCGGTCTCTGACCGATATTTTCGTTTGAATATTGCGACCTTCGAGTACCGAATATTGCACACACATTTTCAGCATAGCGCAGCCGCCCACATTTTGATCAAAAACATTTTCACTGGGCGCATAGCTGCATTTTTTTCTTTGCTTGCCAAGATACACCACAATTCATAGGTGTGAATACTGTTCCATCACATCTTTTCACTTAGAAGCAAGAAAACAACAAATTTACAATCTTATCACACATTTTCTTTGTATTTTTACAATGATAATATTATTAGGTTTGGTAATAACAATGTTCCGGGATATTAGAAAAGTGAATAAATTTATGTGGAGGATTTTAGAATGTATTCGAAATTCCAGATTCAAATATATTTTTTCAGAATGTTATGGGCTATGGCCATCCCTGCGATACTACATCAAACTACGTGACATTTAAAATCTCCAGCAAACTCTCTTTGTTTGTTGAGGATGCATAATCAACTATTCTATGGATTTTAAGTTTTACGTGAGAAATTTGTACTTTCAAAAATATGACACTGCTTCACAGCCCTGATTAGTATAAGCAATCGGTTGTAGGGAATTTCGGGTTGGCGATTCTATTTCACCATTTGTGCACGGCAAGTTCGCACTTTGTCTGTATGCCTATCGCTAAAAACTGTGTATGTTATCTTACTATATCTTGTGCAATTGTATGAAACTGTCTAAAATGAAGCTCTCCAAACCAGCCAAGAGAAGCAATCATATGAAATGTTCCCATGTCATTTTTAATTTAAAAATTATTTAATAAATTCAGCGTCTGTTGTTGAATGCAATAAATATATATAGAATCTAGTTATTTGTGCCTTTTCTTTTTATGTTTCTTGACCTGTAAAAAAAAATAGAAAAAAAATTAATTGATGCGCTAGGGTGCGCGACTTCCCCACGTTGAGCAGTCTGTGGAGTGTTTTAGCGAGGGTCATGTCATGTCCTACGGCCACGGGTTTGGAAAACACATATGCCGCGAACACATCGTCACATTTTTTATTATCTGTTTCAGGAGATATTTTTGCAAATCAGTGTTTAAATATTATTTAGTATTAAGGCGCTTTTATCGTTATCCCGGTGTCGTTGATTCAATTTATGCTGGTGGAATAATTTAAACGATAAAAGCATCACAGCCGTCAAGAAAGTTTTAAACCAGCGCCGCCATGATACTTCTCCATTGTGAAAATTAATTATTTTTATAGTTTTGTTGACGATGATTGCGTAATAACATACAGTTTCACGAGCATATTAATATTAATTGACTTGACGTTATCATTGGGCTAATAAATGACAGGCTGATAACAAAAATAAGCCATGTCGAAAAGTTTGTTAACGACTTTAATTTTACTGTCGAGGTTGAAACATTTCAGTATGATAATATTATTAATTACCGTAGGCCTAATTGCTGTTCTTAGATTTTAGGAAAGTGAATAAAATTCAAGTTTTGTGGGATTTTAAAATGGCCATCCCTGCACTTCACTTCACTGCTAATGTTATTTTCAGGATTCTTCACTCTCTTATTATCCTTGAACAAATTTTGAAGCTGGACTACTATATTCACCTTTTTGTGTTTGCTCTTCTTTGATTTCTTTGGCTTCAACACTTCCGGATCTGAATAGAATAATGAAAGAAAAAATAGATTCACAAAACGAAGGCTCACCACAAAGTTCTACAATAGTGCAAAACAATTGTATTTCCCTTTCTGTAAATCAGAATTCTCCCGTACATGAACAACTTGAATAATACTGAATTACCAAAATATCACAATTGCACTGTGCATGAAATACACTCGAATAATACACCAAGCACATATGCTTTAAAAAAGGGCAGGCGTTGCTGGTCTTTCCAATCAATGGTTGGTTGTATAAGGCCTTGTTTGGAGCAAGCAAAATACATGATAAGTGTTCTATAGGAAAAAATATCGGTCATAGGTAAGGCTGGGTGCTGTTTTGATTTTTGAAACGGACATTATGGCATCATAGCAAATGCCAACTGAAATTCGTCAAGGTCTAACGTTTTGAATTTTGACAAAAATTATTTCAGATTCATTATGACACCGCTGATTCAGAACAATCTGTGTCAACAGAAAAAGTGGCAAATGAGATTTTTTGATTCCATCATCCTATTTTTGTTTTCATATCAAAGACAAATCTCGTTTCGATTTCGAAACATTGGTATTACTGTTGGAATTCCACAGTTTTGGAATTTTCACTGGAGGCAATGCTGGACCAAAGGAGCTATCTGTAGTTTCGATCTCAAGAGGCATAGAAGTTTCATTGACTGAAGAATCATTAGCACTTTCAATGTTAGCGGACTCTTTTTTTCGCGAATAGATTTTGAGGAAAATTTATGAAAAGCTGGACGATGAACATCAGCAGATATTTGGGCGATGTATGCTCTGTCGAGACCTAAAGAATCATTTAAAACTGAATTGTCCACTACCGGCTTTTGAAATTGTCCTAGAAGTGTAGCAGTGTTTGGTTTGTCATTTTTAGTTTGTAAATTATCATTTTCTGAGTCACTATCTTCATTCTGATGATTCGTCGGAATTTTCAAATATTGCTTTAAACAATTCCATTGAGGGTCTTTCTACTTGTTGTTCATTTTCTTTCTTTAATTCTGTAGATAATTCTTTTAAGCTATCTGGTACTTCATTGGGTACATGTGCTTTTTCAAATTCATTTGAAGATGCTGTATGATAAATCAATGTTCAATTATAAATTACTGTACTCTCGTAGTGTGTGTACCAGGTTAGGGTTAGATCATAATTTTATTCTGATTTTCCTGCTTTTAGTTCTATTATGAGTTCGTGGACAGTCTGTGTTAGCAAGTAAATATACCCCCTGGCCATAGGTTTCAGTACCTTTACACAACTTGATGTAAAATAGGCGAACAAAATTAGTTACCTCCATTACACACACTTTTGGAGCGCCGAACATGATGCAGCAGTACATCAGCATTCTCATTAGACATAAAACAATTTCAGTGACTGAGCTTAAAAATTTTAAATTCAGGAATAGGAAACTTACAATTTTCATGATTTAGTTCCGGGGCCTTGTGCTGGAGCTTCTTGTCCCATCTTGAAACACTTTTCGGAAAGTTTATTAAACGTAGGTGGATTTTTAGTGTCACTAATAATACCAGTTGCCTTAGCTTGGGATTCAGAAACATCTTTGTAAGCGATAGGCTTCACTTGAGATAAATTAGAATTCTTTTTTCTTTTAAAATCATCAGGATGCAGAAACATCTCGAGCGTACGATCAGAATTTGAACCAGGTATACCAACAATGTCAGAGCTATATAGAAGTAGAATATTGTAGAATTAGGTATACAGAGCGATGTTGAAGTCGATTAAGATTCACATATTCATTCGAATCAACTTCATATACAAAAGCATATGGACAAACACTTATGGTATCTATCATTATTAAGGTAAAGATATGACTAGAAAGTCATTGAGCAAGCAATTCCATCTTTAGGATACATTTAAAAAATAAAATAAAAATAGAGTCAAAAAGAAGACTAACTTGGGATACGGATTCGGTACGTTGAATCTTTTACATAGAAGTGGATCAGGGTGCCATTCCACACATTCCCTAGTTATAATCCGAACATTTTCATTTTTGCAAGCTTTCTTTTGAGAATCTTCTTTCTGAAAAAAAAAAAACATGATACATACATATAAAAAATTGAACTAAACGAGAATTTTTGAATGTGAACAAATAAGATTAATTAAATTGTCGCAGACGGTCTTTGTATGGGGAGACGTACCAGACCACTCAGACGTCCTATTATTATTCAGTATGATTCATAAACCATCAAGAGAGTAAATAACATTTCGCATTTTTCAATGTATCATCCGAGTTCAACTCAATTATACATTGTTATTTTTTAAAGGAAATATTACTTTATTTAAAATTTACCAAATGTATTTACCCTTGTATTAAGCCAAGTTGAACCTAAAAAAAACAAGAAATCCAAACAAGAAATCCGCTTAAAGGAGAAAGGAGCATAACCTTGATGTACTGAAAATTTGGCTTATACTCGCATAACTCTGATCTGCATCCTACTCAAAACTATAGAGCGTGCTCGCACACACGCGAAGCAGCTCTTGGTACGCTATGATAGCAATAGCAGTCTGTGATTGGTTGTCATACAGCGTGATCGCTTTCGTGCTTACACTATGACAGCAATAACAGAATTTTGAAACACTTCTTACCGTAATTAATAAAAGTAAAACATAACATTAATGGCTATCCTGTTCATCAATTCTCTTTTGCAACCATACGCTGTGATAGGTGCATACTGTGTGTTACGATTTGTGAGATCGGCTTATATGCGAGAAAATACGGTAGCCTACTATATCACTATTTATTCATGCCATTTATCATTTTGCTTCAAATTTATTTCAAACGAACAACTGACCTCATTTTCATATTTTAATTCTTCAGATTCAGATGTGAATCTTGATGACATTGTTGCAGATAAAGGTTGAAAAAATCTGGATGCCTTTGTAAATTCTTCTTTTTCTCGTTCTCGTTCCCATTCTGTCATGTTCGGATCATGCTCGATTTTAGAATAAGGATCTGTAAAGTAACCAAATTTTATGATTTGCAGGCAATGATTGTATAACCACCGCAAAAATACCCGAATTCTGTGATTAAATATAGTCTCTCCTTGAATCAGGATTTCCATATGCAAAAGAGTAAAATTCATATTGTCTAGTTTAATCTTACAACTTACAAAGTTAATTTTATGAAGAAAATAAATATTTTCACATATGAATTCTTCATAAACATAATTTGATACTAATAATAATCTTGTATTTTGGGTCAATCGAAATTCTACGAACTATCAGAAAGATTTTGCTAACAGTTGACCTACCAGGTTTTTTATCTTTCAGAAGTGATAAATATTCCTCATATCTTCCTTGTTTCGCAGGATTGGACGCAAAAGGTTCGTACAAAGCCGATCTTTTTGATCTATCCGGCTCATTTACTTGCTGCTTTCCCAATTTTGCCCTTTCCAGTCTTTCCCGATCTCTCGAAGAAATAAGAGAAAACACTGATTTCGGGTCCTTATTTTGGTCAGATTTTTCCGTTTGATTTCCTTCTTCTCCAAGCAGTTCTCCACGTTGGTTTGGATCTAGTCTATTAAATTTGTCATCTTGATTCGATAAGTTTTGAATAAAGTTTATATTTGAAGATACAACTGCTCTAATTTTCTGACTTTTTTGTAAAAGTTCTAAACGTTTATGAGGGTTGTAGTCTGGTGGAAGTAAAGGAGGTGGATAAACTTTTCTTTTGACAAGTTTCTCAGCTTTTTTAAATCCTTCCAATGCTTTCTTTATGTACATGATTGAATCGTAAGCTTTGGCACCTACAATTTAATATTAATAGTAAGGTGAGCTGAGCACAATAATTATTTTATCAAAAGAAAATAATAAAAATCTTTTTGTAACATTCGAGTTTAGTTGGTAACTGGTTTTCATAAATTGTTATTTACCTATATTAGTAATTTATTTCTTCACCAAACAGAAAATACGAAGCATGCATACACAAATTCGAAAGAATTTAAAAAAAATCGCAATTCAGAGTGAAAGAGACGCAGAGAAACCAATTATGGTCATCGAGAGCGACACCCTTAGGTCAGTCTAACAGAAAATGATATTTAGAAAAAAGACGAACAAAAATATGTTATTTAAAAAACAAGGTACGTCAAGGCGGCCTTGTATATGCCAAGCAGTCGCCTTTTTCAACAACAAAAAAGTCGACTCCAAGCACCACAGTCTAGGTAACCATGGAAAAAGCAGTGCAAGACAGGCTCACAATGTTTCTAATAAAGAACATTGTCTATGTTCGATTATGCGAGGCTCAAGTTTAAGGTAGAACTGAATTCCAAGAGCGTAATTTTTCAGTATCTGATTTACCTTCAATTGCTTTAGTTGGCTTGGTCCATCCATAAGAATTGTCTTGTTTCTCTTCTCCCATTTCCATATCATAGTTGGCCATACTATCTTGTGCATATATATCTTGATCTTCATCTTCATAAGCTCCTACACCAAATGCCTGTCAGGTTTCGTTAGAAGAAAAAAAATGATCGGTATTTAATTATTAGAAAACAAAACTAAATTGCTGTGCAATGGCAGAATGGCAATTTCAATCATAACAAGATGGACAAGGCAGATCATTACAAACACACAAAGGTACTATAGTATGCCAATGTGTAATATACTGGTAATAGAGCCATCAGAAGAAAATGATATTGTACAGTTACAAAGTTTGTGTACAGTTACCAGCAGACTATCAAATGCCAAAAAACTTACAATAAGTCTTCGAACTCCGAGAACGTCAAAAGGAAATTTTGACTCAGTCTCCAGCCCCAGCTAAATCTCCAAGAAAAAAAAGACTACCCCAACCTTCCCGACCCTGGTTTGTGGGTAAATTGAATCGACAAGAATGTATATATCAATAAACAGAATATAAATAAAAATGAATAGCCTCATCAATTTATACCTGACCAGCAAATGATAGCTTTGCTCCAGATTTTGTTCGCAATGAAATGGCGGACGATTTTTTCTTTTTATCATGCAAGGCGAGTTTTGGATCCATTCCTGTATATCCCAAACCAAATATATTAGTTTTTGCAATAAAACTCATCGGCACAGTATCTTCAGGTGCAAAAGTTATATTCTCCGTTATAAAATCAGTCTGAAAAAGAAAATCATTATTGAATATTATAAGCTTCTTCGCTCGAAGGGTTCGGCAACTAGGCCCTCGAGTTCAAAATAATACAAGGGGAAATGACTTCAGTGAGATTGATTTCGAACACATTTCAAAACAAGCCAAAATCTCAAATTCAGAATCCATTCAGTCATTTTATTTTTATAAACTCAGTGATGCTACCTCAAATATTATCTATAAATAGGGTAGGCTACAGTAAATAAAAAAAATTGGTCTTATCGAATTCACCCAATGTCTAAGTGACTGGCTGCATACACAAAGCTTGTTTGACTTTCCAATGCAAAACCCTGGTGTTGTTTAAATTTAACTATAGCATCGTAATACCGTTTTTGGTCTCTTCACTTTTGGTCCAATACCCTGACCTGGTTTCCAACCCATTTTTTGAAGGAGTTTAACACCAATGTTGTTACTGCAATAAAGAAATTGTATACGATAATGAAAGCAGCAACTTTTGAAACATTTTGAGACAATGGGCATAGAATAGAGTAGCAATACGCAGTCCTGTATGTTCCTCTTATCATAAAATAACATCATAGCAAAAAGTTAATGTGAAACTCAATTTGGTACTAATTTAAACAGCCTAGTTTGGTGCATTGAAAAGGTAAATCTTTACATATAAATATCTGTTTCATATGATTGTATCATTTTCATAGTTATCCCAAGAGCAGGAAAGATGATAGGTCAATTTGAAGATTTCAAACCACAGCTTCTTGTACAGTCACCAGTCCATGTTGAGGAATAGAAATGGTTGAACAATTATTTGATTTAGATGCCTGGCTTTAATGGTAAGAAAAGCCGTAAACATTCAGCTGTTACATAAAACACCCTTTGACATGTCACACAGGGTAATATAGCCATTGCATATAAGTGTATGAAAGTGACATGACTATAAGAAAATTCAGTGTATAAACTGAAAGAAAGGTACATAAACACATACCTAACGGGGACAATCAATGATTCTAGCATATTAAGGCCAAGGAGCATAGTTGCATTATTTGTAAAATTTTCCTTTCGTTTGAGTGATTGCTGATCTTTCTTTGTATCTGAGAAGATACTCTGTGGTACAATCTTCTCTGGAGCGATACCATACTCTGATTTGTCCTGAAGATAAATAATGACAAATTTTAAGAATTAAATCATGCCATAGCAACATGTTTTATTGAGATGGGAGTGGAAGTCAGAGTTGTGTTTTGAAAGTCCACGGAGAAGGAGACAAAATCCCAGGAAGAGTCAAGAAGCAGACTTCCAACGACTTCCTAGACTTCCAACGATGATAATAAAAGTCAAGTTTCGATATAAACTAGAGAAAGCTAATTTAATTAAGCAATCTAAACAAACAATTGAAAACTAATGCATGTACTTGAATTTTTGTGGTAAAAATTTGGTTTTGTCTGACCTAAGAGCTGGAATCATGATGAAAAATTTTTCAACCAGGAGTCTGACCAAATGACTTGGAGTTTGGTAATTTTTCCTAAGACCCCACAGATCACAACGATGGTCACATACTAGTTTTCTATGCCTACTAGATGAGGATTTTGTAACTCTGGTGTTAATCCCAAATAGGAATATTTGCCTGATATTTCAGGCTCCAAACTTATTTTACACTGATGTGAATCTAATCAGTACAATTGCTAATAATTCCAACCATACCTCATCATCCATGAAATCTTCCGGAGCATAATTTTGCTTTTTTGTTCGATCACTTCGGGAAGATTTGAATGTGCTAGGCTTCCATCCTTCTTTAGTATCGACGGTGTTGTAATATCCTGCTGAAAATCCTCCAGTAAAAGCTCCATGGAAACGACGACGTCCTTGCTCATCAGTAACAACTTGCTCATGAACAGCAATTGGTTTCTTTGGAATGTCTGAGAAATAAGATTTAATGATAATCTTTCACGTCATGACATCAGCAACATTATATGCTTAATTACCTAACATCTGAACATCCCACAATATTCTATAACATACAGGATTAAAGAAAACAGATCATAAAATAAGAGATGGCACAATACTGCAATATAACAGTATCAAAATACAGGAATATTGATGATACCAATTTCCCGGTCTTTCGTACCTGAAGTACTTCTAGTGCAGGGGTCACCAACCTTTTCGAGGCCGAGGGCTACTTTCTGGGTACAGATTAAGCCGCGGGCTACCAATTCAATGTATACTTCTAAAAAGTCGCGGCTGTGTGGCCATCGTTAGTGTGCTAAGCGTTAGGTTCGCAGGTAAGAATTCCATGCGAAGATAGTTATGTGCGAAAGGATTGCTAGACCCTTGCCGCCGTTGGGATGGCTTCCTTCGCCATCGAGTCCAGGCTTACGAAAACAAATAACTAACTAATCCCATACCCGACATGAAATGGTAACCGGACGAGAGGCCTTGGTTCGCCATATGGTTAAGCCGTCTTATCGGCCCCGGGACATCCTGAGTTTATGGCAAAAATGTTGAACAATGGTCTCGTAAACTAGAATTGCTGTATGATTTGAATCGCGAGCTTTTTCTGCCCGTACTGCGCTGACCAGTGAATAGTTAGCGCGTTAGATTGCGTGACTAGCCGTGAAATAACTTTTCGTTTTGTCGTCGCTACAATCGTCCCACAAATGAGACACGCGCAGGCTGTTTTCATGGTGGTAAAAATATATCCACCCCCATTCATCGTGAAAATGGTGGGTTTTTCTGCCATTTTTCTTTGGAATCAATAATTATATTATTGCTGCTCCACAAACCAACGGACAAGAAAAAGCGCGGGTTCGTGGTAAATTATATCACTGTGATGTCATAATTGCAAGAGTGTTAATTGTCCAGTCACATTACTGAGATCAAATAAAAATCAGATTGATGGCTACGCCATTCCCGATTCCCATATAAGTATGATTTACACAAGAATAGCAGGACAAAATTTAATTGATGTAGTTTACTTATAAGCGCCGTTATTGAGCTTAGTTTGGAACAAACCTGCGGGCGACTCATATGGTCTTCACGGGCGACTCGGTGCCCGCGGGCAACGCGTTGGTGACCCCTGTTCTAGTGGGTGTAGAATACTTATTTTTGCACACGTCAATCCCAACCCCCACCTGACGACACCATCCAAAAATTACGTCACTACGACGTCACAATCACGTCATAGAGCTTGCAAAAGTATACCTACAATCGCCCAAAATGGCATTTGCGCGAACGATAAAGAACTTACTACTGTACTAACGGCAGCGACCTCTCTCATATCGGGATCGTTGCAACGAGGATACGAAAGAAATAGCTTGTTCGATTTTGGGTGATCGTCTTCGCGTCTTGGATGACAGGTTGTTTAGTTTGAAGGGCCTTATTATGTCGTAGTGACGTAATTTTTGGATGACGCAGTCATGTGTGGGTTAGGATTGATATATGCAAAAATTGTTAAGCTACGCCCACAAGAAGAACTTTCAGACTTTGGGTATGACAGTATGAAACTACACAAGACCACAATTTCCGACATCTGCAATTGCAGTAGCCTACACCAGTGGGTGAAATTTACAATTTTTCATCAATATTGCAAGTTTGTAGATCTCATTAAACGTACCGCACCGCTATCGTGTACAATTGCAGAACTGAACGTTCCATATTAACGAGTGGTACCGGTACCAAGGTAGGTATCGATACGATAACGTTCCGCACTACGCACTAAGATACATAGTACCGGTACTGTGGTAAGGTTAAAAAATAAACTAACCAGTTTCCTCGATTTCTTCCAGGGGTGTTCCATATTTCACCAACGGAAATTCATTCTCGTCTGAGCTGGACATGGCGCGAAACTGCCTCGAGCAACTGCCAAGTTCAAACAACCCAGCTAGCTTGCAGCAAATTCTGAAATTGCAGAACTTCCATTCAAGATTGGCGACGTTTTGAGCTGTAGGGGCATCTCACGAACTTTTGACCTATCCCCCGCTGGGTGGCGTGGCGCATCGTGCTTGGGTGCTTGCCACTGTACCTCACCTCTGATTACCCTGCCCTGCGCAGGTTCGAAACCCGTAAGGATAATTATGTGCAAAAGTATTGCTGGAATCCTCGTTGCCTTAGGGTGGTTTACGTAACCGCTGGTCGGTTATGGCTTCCTCTGCCATGCATCTGACAATGGATACAGTAACTGACTAACCGTACCGGTAACCGGACGAGAGTCCGTTGTTCTCCATGCGATTAGGTCGTCTTATCACTTTTCCCTTCCCATGGGATGGAACAACAGCAAAAATAACAACATCAATAAGAAAATACCAAAAAGAATATTTCGCATTTGCTTGTTAGTGTTACCAGATACTGCAAATATGTCTTCATTCTAAACTTAACAACTATGATATTGTGACGAAACAAATTCACACATGATTCTTGACAACGCCCGTTGCTAAGTGAAACATCTTTATTTATTTATTTCATTGAAATGGAGTTCAAAGGTACAGATACTGGTGTCATAACTTAGCTATTTAAATTAGACAGTCCCCTCATAGTAGCCTAGTAACAAATAAACTGTAAAGTTAGACTTTTAGGTTTAGTTTAAAAAACTATTTTTATGCAAACTTAACAAGAAGAATGTCATTTGCTTTTATAGGTTAGCTAATATTTGTGTTATCTCACAAAACTAGTCTACTATTTTACTAGTACTCTACATTCTGACATCAATGATGAGCAACAAATCATCGTGTGACAATTTTGTCACCAAGACGTCAACTTATCCAAAAACTAATACGAGTTCTCGAGCGTTACCATCGTTAACCCATGACAAGCCCAAATTGAAAGTGGGATGTTGTCCAAATGACTATTCAATATGGACAGTGCAATCACTCATCAACCGCTTCAATACCCCAGAACAAGAGGGAGGCGATAGCAAAGGGGGAACGACAGGCTACCTTCAGCAAAACAAACCCAAACGACATGTTTCAACACGGGTGAGATAAAATTCTGTTTCGATACCAAATTTATTGAGGGAATAATCAACACAAAAACAACTTGGGTATATGCAAATATTTTTTGTAGTACATTCGGCAAAATATTGCTTCTCTAAAAAAAACTTCATTGCAGTGCGTTTGGTATTCGAAACTTGCTTAGATATATTAAAAGCCATTTAAATTTTTACTTCTTTTACAGGAAACATTAAAAAACCAGTGTGATCCTCCAGAGGAGACTTTAGAAAAACCTCGATTAAAAAGATCCCTCGAAAATATTGAAGTTAGCGAGGTTACATGTGTGGAAAGAAGCGTGGAAGAAAATGCCCCGCCGCTCGAAATCGTCGATAAAGGTACGTTGAGTCGGGTGTTAGTTATAATAAAATGTGAATACCGTGATAATTATTTTAATTACCCGAATGCAGAAAGTAAATTTTTTTATCCGTCAACTCGAATTTTCTATTTGACTCAACTGCATTATTTTGACCCCATTATGTAAATCTAAATAAAACAGGAAAAACTGTGGATAAAATAAGTTAAATAATAAATAAATAGAGAAGTGCAGCAACATTATATCGTGAATAAATCACTTTATTTTATAAATAGTCTTGCTTGGTGCAAATGGATCAGTCGATGAGGTGAATGTTATCCCCAGCCAGCAAGAAAAAGCTAATGAATCGTATAGAATTGATAGTGATCACGGGAGTATTAACAACATGATAAAGCATCCTAATCCTGAAATATCTGGAAAATGTGATAAAGATGCAGAAGAGTCCGATAAAGAAGTGAACGGCAGATTCAACACTTCATCTACTTTCTCAATAGAAATTAAAATATCAGATGAGGTAGAAAAAAATATTTTTATTCAAGCATGAGCAATGTACAATCGAACGTAATTTTTTATATACAATCGAAGGATATTTTATGCTTTCGATAAATTTTACACGATACTTTTTCTTGTTAAAGAATTTTATTGCTGTTGAAAATGCGGAGGTTGACGGCAATAAAGACTCAAAACAGGTCGATGCTATGACCACACCAGTAAATGCATCATTATCTTCCAAAATATTGCACGAACCAACTGTTTCCGGCTTCGATAAATCAAATTCAGAATTAAAAGACCTGCTTGAAGAAGATCTGGTAACAATTTTAATTTGCTATTCTACTTTTTTACGCTACAAACTAACATATTCTGCATGGACTTTGTTTCAGCTGTTCGACATTGATAAGCATGGCATCTTGTCAACGCCAATGCCGGCATTTATCACGCGTTCGGGGGACGTTTTTTCAGTTAAGGACGGAATATCGGTGAATTGTAATCATGAAGAGATTTGTCCAATCACGTCGCAATTCACGGATACTTTGGAAGGTAAAGGAGTTACATGTGTAAATTTCTTGTGATTTGCGGTTTTAAGAAAATTCGCCTTAGAAAATTTCGCCATTTCGCCGCATAGGAAAAATCGCCGCATGAACATTTTGCTGTAAAACAAGTATTTGTGATAAAAACAGTTCTTGAAGTACCTTTTTATTTAAAAAAAATCGTCATTCAATAGCATACCCTAACCCTATAAACCTGTTTTTATCGCAAATACTTGTTTTACAGCAAAATGCTCTTGCGGAGATTTTTCCTATGCGGCGAAATTTTCTGCGGCGAATTTTCCGAGCACGAAATATATATTGTGCTAGAATGAATACATAGCTATAGATTTAGGATATTTAGACTGACTTAAGGGGTTGGGATGTGATTCAAATGCATTTTATTCTTTAGTCGCAAAATGTTCCCTTTGTTTCTAACAACAGGACTCGAAGCAACAAACACTGCAAAAATACGAAATGGATTTGACGACCAGAAAAATGCGATAGTTTCAAAATCCGAAAACTGTTTGAATCGGGTAAGTTATACTTCTATATCATAACTCGTACCAAGATATACACGTTAGAAGCTTGGATTGTGTATAGCCTACTTTGTTACTTGATCTGATCACTTCCTTGTTTTCATTTTTCAGTCTCAACCGCCACCTGACATCGAAGGAAAGTTTGGTTCTTCACTACGAACCCGTGATTCTTTTGGGAATGATTCGATGTTTACTTCCAACTGGAATGTTGCTTGTAACATAAACAGATCACGCCTGGGATGTAAATCTGCCTCCAGTGCTTCTCTTGTGGAGGTTGTACCTTTCCAGATGAAAAACACCACGAATAATACATATGATATTATTTGTCAAATGAGTCGACTGGAGCGAACGAAACTTTTCATTAAAATGGAAATAGAGACTGAAAATGTAAGTTATATATCAAGTATATTGGTGGTTTGGTTTTTAGTCCCAAAATATGTATTTGGCACACAATTACATCATTTCATCGCCATTATATATTACATTACGGAAAGTAATGAATTCATAACAAATAATTGATTTGATTTAGATAATATATATATATTGTTTCGCCCTTTATTTGCTTGGATGGAAAGATATTTTTTAAATTTATTTTTTTATTTCTATCGTCCAGGCTTTGCGTAATAAAGAGCAAGAAAAAGAAAATTTGCTTCAAAAAATGAGGGAAAAAGAATCAAAAAAGTATAATTTGCTTCAAAAAATCAGAAAATTCTTTGTTCCAAAATGCTGTCGTTTCGGTAAATCTGACAACTTACATCGACTTGAGGAGACACTTATGGATATCCAAGAAAAACTTGAATGTTTGCATGAATTGTTACCATTATATAGGATCTGCCTCAACAAACTTGAAGAGGAAATATGCGAAAAACAAAATAAGCATTACAGTGGCGATTATTTTCCTATATCACTCTGTGGTTTTTAGGATTTAAACTTTCTTAACTGTTCTGAATATACTTATTTATTGGTATAAACGCGTCTTGTATTGAAATGATAACAAAAGGCGAAAATCTCAGTTTAAATATATGAAAAGGCCGAATTATTAAATGGGGATCCGAGGATTGAATGTTGACATCCAGTACTATATTGTTTAACTTGTACATATTAAGAATTATCCAATTGCTTGTACAACCTCAAAAAGACTATCAGTTTCTCCAGTATAATCATCCATTGTTCGAATATCTATCGTCTCGATAATAAACGTTAGGCAAGGATAAAAAAGACAGTTTGTTTGCGACCACCTAATGAATTACGCAAGAAAACACCAGTTAACAGGCGATTAAATAATTGTTGGAAACTGCTTGTCTGATTTTGGTTAAACGAAACGTTACAGAAATACATTTGTGTTAGTGTGCAGCGAGACTCTTATATTGCATAGAAAACACCAGTCTTGAAAAAATCGTGTTGCATATCTATTTATTGACAGACATATTTGTGGACATCTTTCACGGATTACTACTCCAAAGAACTTGGAATTGGTACGCACTAAAACGTCACATCCATTGCACTGCACAAAAGTCGACATTTCATTATAATATATCTGAAAATTCATTTTCCGGTTATCGATTTTAAAATAGGCCATTAAACTGTAGACGTTAGGTATATAAAGACAGCCATCCCCCATTTACTTACATTTAATGAAACTATTGTTCAGTTTTGTTCAAAAAGTAATTTCGGCAATGAGAGCTTTTATCGCCGTCCCGACTATTAAACCCACAGCGTTATGAATAAGTATATGCATGTTAGGCTGATCTGAAACGTCATAATATACGACTTTGGGAGTTCCAGAAGTATGTGGACCAAGATGGCACACAACTTGAACATAGTATGTTTAACAGGTTAGGGTTCAGTTTGTGCGCCATCTTGGTGCTCACACTTTGGGAGTTCCAGAAGTATGTGGACCAAGATGGCACACAACCTGAACTAAGTATGTTTAACAGGTTAGGGTTCAGGTTGTGCGCCATCTTGGTGCTCATACTTCGGGAGCGCACGACTTTGTTCATTGTACTAGCGAAAGTAAATAAAGTTATAATGTCTGCATGAAAATAAAGACCAGGGTTAGAATGTCAAGCGCAGTCATATTGAATTGAATTGAAAATGAGATCTGTGTAATTTAAATAGTGTCAGTGATGTCGATTCTTATCCATACACAGTTTGTTTTCATTTTTATTAATCATTAATTAAAAGGCGACAAACCGGACAAATTCGGGCCAAACCCCGAACAAATTCGGGCGACAAATAGTTCACAGTGAGATATCTGAACTACACCATTGTCACTACTTTATGTTTTGTGAATCGATTACAAATCCTGGTGAGCACTCTGAATTTTCTTCGTCTAAAAGCCACTTTTTCAAAGAATATAGATTTCGACTTAGCATATGTCCCGAGAATAATGGCCGATACATTTTAGATGGGTCAAATTTGTCTTTGTGAACATCATCGACGTGAATACCATGAATTTCTCTGCAGAGTTGACAAAATCCCACTTTTCTAACTCCCATTGGATGATCGTCTTTCACGACTTCTCGCCATCTGAAAAGTTTGAAGAATTTGATAGTAACATTTTACACAAAAATAAAATTGAAAAATATCCTTGATTTTGAACAATCTACAAGATGCGATTGGATTTTAGTGCGATTGGCAATTGCAATATCTTCTCTTCAAAATAGAATATTGTCAAGAATAATTTATTCTAACGATATATATATATGTAAAGTGGGTATTGTGAAATCTATAATAAGTCTTAACTTTCTTTTAACTTAACTTTTATGCTATAACTTTCATTTAGCATAAAACAATTGTATTTCAAATCAATAATGACATTGAAATATTAAAATTGAAAAGAATTTCACAATGTCGAAAGTTTTAGCTTAGAAACTTTACTGACAGGTGGGAACTTACGACCAAATATATAATAACAATTAAGTGGTTCAGTTTAAGGAGAAATATAAAAATCTGACCTAAAATATTGTGAATAAGCTGTATCGTTGTGGTCCAGATATGTGAGGTAATCCACTAAATCCATTGCGGACTGAAAATCTTCTATGTGAATAAATGAATCAGGCGGAGCAACTTTTTCATAATCCTGTCTTTTCGCTCCCCAGACTACCGGTACCACGCCAGTTTCCAAGTTTCTATAAAAGTCGCTCGTAATATAATCTTTACAGTGATGTGAATCTTCAAAAGCAAGGTAATATTTATATGATTGGGTAATATCTTCATCATTCAGACTACTCGAATCTTTTTTTGCAGGAAAGCAATCACCATATGCGTCCAATTTTAGACCGTGATCGATCAGTTCTTCAATTTTTCGCAGTCTTAACTCGGCTCCTTTGGTATTATTACAATTTGAAATGAATACCATCGCCAATCGAGATTTCTTTTCCACTATACTATGGATTTGATTTCCTTTTCGCCTAAGAACTCCGTAAGGAAAATGAAAATCAGCGTCGCGTCTGAAATAATGAGGGGATAGTTCTGTAAATGTATTTTTAATGTATAACGTTAAAGGTATTTTTGCCAGAAAGAACAGAAACACCGCGAATTTCAGTTTTTGAGATGACAATGAATTCATTTAAATCAAAATAATTTAAACGGGATAAAAATGTTTTGGCGATTTTTACCTGTATCCCATGGTTGCGTTGAAATGATATTTTTCATCAAAATCAAAGTTTTTGCCATGTTTTTCAGCTAATGTCAGTGGAGATTCTGTGATCCAATATATAAATAGCTTGTTTTGACGTCTAAAAATATTAATAATATTATTTGTGTGCCATGACTATATAACAAAAAAGATATACAACATCAAATGTATATTCCTATTTTCCACTAAAAATGTTAAATTTCATTTAAATCTTGGATACATATTATCAAAGTTATCTTACCTTTGTGGTGATGGCGGCATCGTACTGGGAGAAATCTTTTTAGAATCAAAAACAACAGCTGCTGTGAGAGAGTTGTTGATCTATATATAAAAATAGGTAAATTATTTATTACTTTTCTGACGGAAACGAAGGCGACTTGATATATTCTGTCAGTACACCGAGGGGGGATTTACGACTTTCGAGTAAAGTCTGCTATTATGACGACAGATTTCCTGATATCGTTAAGTTTTATTACAGCTTTGAGTTTTCACGATGACGTCATTATACTTTCTATATACTTTTGTATGACATCACAGTACGAAGCAGAAATTATCATATATTTCGACGTCACAAATTTTCAATTAATAAATAGCCCCCTCAACGTAATCCACTGTATACAAACCTCTGATCGATTTTGAATTATTTTACAGCTTCCGCAGATATTAGGATCCAATGAATACTGAACTGTGTTGTTTTCCGGTGGATACCAAAGTAAAATAAACTGTCAAAAACAAGATTATAGTTATCACGATTTTTTAAAATAACTTGCAATTCATGTATTTTGACGGTGCAACCTTAATTTATCAAGACGTAAAACATTTTATGCGATACTTTATCATGTTGTTTAAAAAATTCGCACCGAGCTAAATATCGTGCCATACTATAACTCCTATTGTTATTATTATTATATATTCGTAATACGTTCCTATACCTCAGGAAATTAAGTCCAACTATAGTTGGATGACATACAATATCTATAAATTCTACGCAGCTGACCTACTTGGTATTCTCAACACCTAATATAAAGGAAGCAGTTATTCTTGATTCTGTGAAAATAGTTAACTTTAAAGTTATCTAAATATATATATATATATGGTTTCCACTGCATCATATTTTATTATTGTTATGACGTTTTTACCTTTTGTGTGGATGCCTTCTTAAGTGCATTTGGAAGAAGCTGAGCATAGTGCTGGCGGTTTATCTGAAGACTCGAAAAATCAAATCCTCTATATATGTCATCCGTGCTTTTTTTGCTCTTGCGTAGAAATATGAAATAAATTAAAATAGCGCAAAAGACAACTAGTATAATCACACGTTTACCCCTTTTACATCCTCTACCATTCATTTCTAGTTACTACTATCTCTGTCCAGATATAAAATTGTGGTGTACAGAATTATATACAAAACAAAATAATATTTAATTGCCTGACGGCGAAAACTAGTCGAACAAACAGTGCATATTTGATTGTCGAGAGTGGATACGAGACAAGCAGATAAGAGTTTATTTATTCAATTCAGTTCGATTGATCAAGACGTCTGATACACAAGTATATCTTGCGCGTCAAAATTGACCTAATTGTACTTATTAATATAAATACTGTCCATTAATTGCCTGTCGTGCACAATATCGCATCTCTTAACAGGTAGTGTGATATATATATATACAAGAGTATGGAGGAACTGTCGGGGATCATACATTCATTCAATAGAAGTAGGCCATGTGTACTCTGTGAGTGATACATTGGATCTGAAATACCCATACATATCTGAGTATGAGGCACCACAGTGCTGCTGTAATGTACTACATTGTCTACTCGATTCTTTCAGTGCAAAATGGCCTGCACAAATGCCAACATTTCCTTTGTTTTTACTAAGCTTTTCGCATAAAATGCTTGGTCATGTCATCAAACCAGTTACGTCAAATTACACCCCCATAATCATCTCACATTGCCGTGAAACATTAAAACAACTAGAACCAAAATTCTGACTTCATATTACGGTAAGCTTAAAACCTCATCCTACCTAATATATTGCCCAATACCCATACCCGGCGGCTACGTTTATAAAATAACTTGTTACAGACATAACAACGCAAAACATTTCTTAAGATCAATTCAAGGTTCTGTTGCAGCACGTAGACTTCCGCAAGCCGTATCCACAAAACAAGCAGCGTTGACTCATTCGGTCGAGAGTTCAGCATAAATAGGTATTGCTATTTCCTGGTGTCCATTTACCAATAAGCGTGTATCGTACATGCTTAGAAACGTATTCTGAAATTTATCTAAACAAATACTACGTGCCGGCATGATGCGGCAACCATTTATATAACATGGAATATCGATTATTTGTCCAGATCAAATTTGGTCCACCTCACACGCGCTTGAATTGCCAAAGACAATATTTTCTCTGTATAGTCCAGTTCTAGTGTAAAGTCCTCCACGCGCCTGCGACTTACTAGTCACAACTAAAAGTTTATTACCTACGTCGATGGCCGAAGTTGAACTTAGTGCAATATAGAATGGAAAATGCTTTACTAAATGTATATCACTCTTGTGGAAACAATTTTGTATCTTTATTCTTTCGTACATTAGACTTGGATTTTGAAACTAACCTTAAAATATCAGGATCACACCCAGACCAATAATACTTGACCTTTATTCGGGATTAATTCAAATCATTCAAATGTTCTATGCATGTATAAAAAAAATATAAATTTAGTAACTGATCTGATCAACCTCTCAAAATTACTTAAAATCAATATGTAAGTATATCAACACTACAACAACACTGATATAAGATATTTGATAACATGCAATATGAGTTTATTTTTTCGAAGGACTGCTTAAAAAATGTTTGTAAGCAAATATAAATCGAAGCTCCTTTTTTTTTCATAAATCCCTTTCCAAAATTCCAAATCCTATGTAATATGTGCTTTTGAGAACAGACAAAACTAAAAAATATTTTTTATATGAAATACAGTGGCTCATGACGCCCTTATATGATATAAAATTACAAACAACCTGAATTATCACAAAAAAGAAGAATGATTATCAAGTCTTGATTATTATCACTTTTGAGTGTTATTAAATAGTAGAAATAAAAACAGTATCATGATTTTAACAGTAGGGTTCGTCAAAACGAAAATTTTTATTATTCTGAGTACATTTCAAAATAATATTTTAATTAGTATTAATATATTCTTGAATAAGACATGTTTAACCGAGAATTTAGCATAAACCATTGTATATTAAATAAATGAATTAATTAAAAACCTAAGGACAGAGGGTATATATTCACTTAGCTAACACAGACAGTTCGACAACTCGCAATAGAACTAAAATAAAGAAAATGAAAATTATGCCCCAGCCTGGTACACATACTACGGGAGTACCCGATAAATGTAATGTGTAAAATTTTTAGTATGAGTAATGAAATTACTAACATCATAGTGCATCCAAAGAATAAATTATTTTTCATTTATATGTTTTCACAGAATATCACAAGATCTCTGGTTGGGTTTCACCACCGGTGGGAAGAGAACTGCACGAATTGCTTCATCAAAGACAATCTTAAGACCTTTTTGAGTAAGAGCTGAACATTCAAGATATTTGACAGCACCAATGTTTTTAGCTAGTTGTAGACCAGCTGTGGTAGCAACAGGAATAAGCTTCTTGTCTTTGAGATGATTTATAGTGTCCATGTCATCACGTAAGTCGACCTTTGTTCCAACTAAAACAATTGGGGTGTTTGGGCAGTGGTGGGACACTTCTGGGTACCATTTTGCACGAACGTTTTCATACGATGCCGGTGATACAACAGAGAAGCAGATCAAGAATACATTTGTCTGAGGATAAGAGAGAGGACGAAGTCTGAAAAAACAAGACTCGATGAGATAACTTTTATGAACCGTTGCAGTTGGTTTTAATACATAAAATCATCTGATGTTACCGCTACTATATATTCCATCCATGCTAAAATTTACCATGAATTTCAAACTAGGGGGAAATGTACCATGATGTGTTAAAATCAAAAAACCTTTAGTTTAAGATGGCGAAGAGACTCTCCGGGAGAGTAACATGAAGAATTTGAATTTCGCTAGGAGTTACCAGTCAGTATCTTCCGAAACATATATTTAAATCGAAGCCGCACAAAACATTGTTTCCCTTTTGGGTTACCGTATTTCTTATTTTATCTGACAGGATAGCTGTTGTAATAACCGATGGTTCAAGGGTGGGGAAATTATGTCAATAACTCAAAATTGATTACACTAGGAAGTGTATCTTATTACATTTCGAAATAACTAATAATTTTTTTGAAACAAAGCAAAATAAGAGAATATAATAATGTTTGCAATAAGATTGGACTAAGTCATTATTCAATTGTGGTGACTTTGAAATGACTGTTTTTTTCAGAAAAAATGGATAATTCTTCCAGTCATGATTTCAGTACAGGTTCACAATAATGTTGCTAAACCATTACCTGTCATAATCTTCTTGTCCTGCAGTATCCCACAAACCTAAGTTAACAGGTCGTCCATCAACCATAACATTAGCTGAATAATTATCGAACACAGTAGGGATGTATTCTCCAGGAAACGCATTGGTAGTGTAGCTGATTAAAAGACATGTTTTACCAACAGCTCCATCTCCGACCACGACACACTTTAATTGCCTGAATGGTATCAAAATTTTAGAGAAAAACACTGATTTTCATTTGCAGACTGACAAAGCAAGTAACTCCTAATTGGCATTGACCTCGAGAGAAAATAGACATTCAAGAAATGACCTTCACCATTTACTATTTTAAACAGCATAATAGAATATTATTTCTGTTCTTCATGTTCAGTTTGTAAACCATGCTTGGTATGAAATAAAGAAACCTTATCCCAAACATGGGCACAATGTACTTTGCTTAACTTGTATATTAAGCAAATACACTAATCATTGGCTAAGCTTCCATTGCATTTAATGTACCTTGTCCAAAGAAACATTTTGTGTCTGTAAAATGTCAAGGCTTACTATAAAAAATAAGCATGTCTATCATTTATTCGTAAATAGCTGAATTTCATGCAATGCTGTCAACCTCATCTCAGGTTATTCAGAAGGTCGGACACAGCACCATAATACATACTCTTATTGTGTTAGAAAAAGAACTACCGGTAGATAATAAATATCATGAAATATGCTAATTTGATTTCACTGTACTCCCTCAGAATTTGATCTACCCAGATTGCAAATTTTTCAAGCATACAGAAAATTTTATATCGACTTTGGGAGAGATCTAGTATGAATGCATGAAAAAATAATTAAGAAAATGCTTACTTGCATACTGTTTGCAACTCTGGATTTTGTTTGCACTTTAATTATGATAGATGTTTTTACAATGCACGTTGTATGCTGTATTCCAATACCATAAAATACAATGATTTTAGATCAGGGGTGTTCAACTTTTTCTATAGACGGCCACATTATGTTTTTGTAAAATGACTACAGCCGCTAGTGAGTTCTAAGTCTTTTATGAGTTATATTTTCATTAAAGAATTGGGTTTGGGAATCGAATAATTCTAATGAATTCCATATATTTAAATAGTTAATAGTTTTAAATCTACAGGTTTGAAGTGAGGCAAGGGCACAAGGGTCGATATTCCCTTCCGCCAGTAAATACTTAAAATGAAAAAGTTGTTAATAACATAGAGACATATTTTTATGTCAATTGCTGTTATTTTTATGGCCAGCTTGATCATTTCTGTGCAGGCATTTGAACTGATTTCATTTTAGTAAACATTGTGTCATATAAAAATCCATCTCCCATTTAGGATTAAAGAACCATTTCTCTTCTGATGATGTTCACAACTATTACTTATGAGGGCGGTAACGGTAATTCCCCTTTTTCATTCGCAATTATTAAAAGACGCAACACCTGCTATGAATTTTCCGTAACAGACAAACTGAACGCTTGCGCTCATTTTGTAGCTAAAACACACTCTGATATGGAAATAAAGTTTTAAGGGATGATCAAATATTATTATCGATCTATAATTCTGCTATGAATAAATCACATCAAAGGAGTACTAGAATAGGTTTTTGCAATTAATATGAAACAAAAGTTCTTTAAATTAAACTCAACACATTAGAATTATAACTATTAAATGAATTGGTCAATAGCACCATGTACGAAGATCAAAAATCAAAAAACTTCTTAGAATAAATTAACCAGAATACAAATTCTAGTATCTCTTGTCTTTGAAACATTTTTCTCTTTCATTATCACATTTCCTAATCTCACATAGTTTGAATTGGGAATTTGTAATTTTATTTTATTTAATATTTATTATTAGTGCAATTATTTTCAATAAAATTACTATTTATTAACTAATAGCTTAGTACAAAACCCACAGGGTTAGTATGTCAGACAGCCATGAACTAATTATGGTGACTTCATGCAAACAGAAAACACCTAGCCATATATTTAATTTTTGCACTTGTAATGTATTACCCTAATTCAACATATTAAATTTGTATTTATATGTCTTATTAAAAACTGGCTAAAATTCCACTTATGAGATATTTGCCTCTAAAATTTCAAACACCATCACCTAACTTAACAATGCAAAGCTGACAAGTATTACCAAAGGACTACTAATGCATAGAGGCTACATAAGAATATATTTATATTGTATGCTGTCACAACAGTTGAATCACTTCCTTCTGAATCACATGACAGAGTTATTAGATATGACAACAATCTTGTGTGAACAACTGAACACGCATTATTCTTACCATTCATAGCCAAACAGCTCTGGTTGAACGAAATGCAGAAGTTTTTTTCAAAGTTTTAGAACTACATAAAATATGATTGAGAAAATTGAAACCATATATTATATATATTTGTAAACCTCAATTTCATCTATGCGCATAATTCAAATTTTCAGTTGACCTACGTATTTTGTGGGAGTCGTAATTGGCAATAACAAAAACATATGAACAAGGTTTAATGAAAGATCACTGGACCAGCTTCTTTGACATCTGATTCATTGAATGATTTTGTTACGTCACTGTTCAAATTACTTTTATAGATAGGTATAAAAGCACCTAGATAGCTATTGATGACTACATTGTATAACTTTTGTCAGTTGTGGATTACAGCATCATATAATATAGCAAGGGTATGGAATCACAAAGTGACCTGTCATGTCATTTTGGCTAAAAAAAGGCACAACCTAAATTTTGAGGGATAAAAATATCTGTAATAAGGGGGCCACTAACAAACAATTGATTTGTTCATATATAAGCAATGTTAGCCAACTAGTTGAGGCAATTCTGTTCGCAGACTCTCCTGCCTGGAGAAGTTCAATTCAATTATCAAAGTTCGAATTACCTCTTTTTTCGCAATTGTAATTGGAGGGAATTCAAAAGCAACTTCTGGAAAAAAATATTCAGGTTTCAAAATTATTACCTTTAGTATTCTGAAATAGGATAAACAAAAACCGAAAATATAGTCTCTCTAACAGTAGAATCCCCCTCAAACTCATTTGAAATCATGGAAATATGAATTCACGATCTAATGCGTTTCTCAACCTTTAGGAATTTTGCCGTTTTGGGAAAGGAATTTTGCTTTGCATTCACTGTAGTATTTCTGATATTTTTAGTTTTTATTTATTACTATAAATACTTATACATGAATACATAACAACTACGGTACCTAATTGTACAAATAACGGGAGTCCCACTTGCACATAGGATTAGCTTTGAATCCATTCAAAATTAAACAAGTAGTTTTACATATACGATTAGCAACCGATTCATTAAGTAGTTTTATGAATAATGAAGGGAGGAAAGCAAGAGTTTCCAAAATAGAAAATTTTCATTTTTTCGCATAAATTTCTGGGATGGCTTGGCTTATTTTTATTTTTCTGGGGTCAACTTTTTATCAGCTTTGGACCAGAAAATACAGGAAATGGTTACAATACTGTGCCTTCCAAATTACTATCAGTCCTCACTCCAATATGCACTAGTCCGCAGATTGGAACCAGCAGAGAATGAAAAAGTGCAAATAGGTATTTCAATACAAAATATCAAGGAAAGAAAGCAAAGACTGATTGAAGGAAATATTGAAGTGAATGATAAGGCAGGAAAGTGTTAAGAATACACATTAAATTACAGCCGAGATTAAGGTACCTAAATGGGGTCTCGTGTAGTTTCTTACCTAACATACTTCTAGTGGGCGTAGCATCACGATTTTTTGACATATCAATCCTAACCCCCACCTGACTATGCCATCCCAAAAATTACGTCACTACGACATCACAATCACGTCATAGAGCTTTGTAAAATATACGTACTATCGTCCGAAATGGCATCGGCGCCGACGATGAAGAACTTACTAACGTCAGCGATCTCTCTCATATTGAGATTGTCGCGACGTTAAAAACGAGAGAAATAGCCTTGGATGACAGTTCGTATAGTTTGAAGGTCTCTATTACGTCACTGTGACGTCGTAGAGACGTAATTTTTGGGTGGCATAGTCAGGTGGGGGGTTAGGATTGACACATGAAAAAATTGTTGTGCTACGCCCGCTAGAAGTATGTTAGGTAGGAAACTACATGAGACCCCCTAAATGAACATAAAAAAATAAAATACTTACATAATATTATTGAACTTTGAGGGAACACATTTCAATGATGCATCCGGTAAAATTTTTTATTACTAGATTAACAGAGCATCTGATCAATCTGAATTTCTATTGCGACATTGTGGTCCACTTCTAGACTTTTCTTGAATTTGACTGAGAGAGAGAGAGAGATTTATTTCCACAAACAATGAAAAAACAATATTAAATAATATCGATAATTTTTAGAGAGTTAGACTATAATGAAAACAATGAAAAACCGTATAAAACAATATCGATGATTTTTATAGAAGTAGTCCCAATTTACACATTGTTTTGTGTTGGCCAGTATGTAAGACCGTTGAAGGTTATCAAGGCTGCTGACCAATTTAACACTGTTTATTGATTAAGAAGTCGGAATTAATTGTCACAATATAAATATAAAAAAGACGGAGAATGAGTCGGCAGATATTTTAGTTCCACGATTCAACACTAAAAGCACATTGTGATAGAGTTTAGAGGACATGTGTAAAATATATATAATACCAGTGCTACATTGTGATTTAGTACATTACAGATCGCCATAACCGAGTCGGGCTCAGTATGAATATAAATGAACAGAAATAGCACAGACACATTTGCACCATGTTATATAAATATTAAGGTAAGACAATTATTGGACACGTAGTGGACATAACGAACAATATTATGTTGTTGTTGTTTTCGTCAAACATCATAATCAAAAAATCGCTTTACTCTTCGAATACTACCCCAAATGGCATTGAAATTTTCACTGGTTAAAGATGGAATTTTTCCAGGAGGCTATTACTTTTTTTTTTTCTCTATGACGTCATTAAATTATGTGGCTCTACGTGTCCATATATTGAGCATAGCTCTCTTGTTAAACAGTATAAACTAATCCTGAGGAAATATACACTGATATACATCGGAAGTTGAAGATATAATGCAAACTGAAAGAATAATAGATATTTCAATATTCAATCATATAATGACGGATTTAAAAAAAAAAAATGTTAACTAATCTGAATACATTGTTAGCAAAAGCTTTTTCATTTTCTTAGTAAAAAAGAGGATGGAGACACATTTTTTATTTCAGATGGGACACCACCCAAACCTGCACGCCATTATATTTTAAGATCGTTCCCAACATCAGTGGAAACCTGTGGTGTAAAATAGATCTAATTTTTTTGGATCTAGTACCATACTTATGTTACATCTTTAAGATGAGTAAAATAGTCCTTGAAAGCAGGGGGGAGAAGCCCATTTTCATGCCGATGCATAAATTTTGCAATTTTCTTAAGTATGCATCTCTGATAGCTGTAAAATTTCATTTTGACAGAAAAGTCGGATGTTTGTTATACGACTCCTCTCTGAAAATGATATACACCTAATTATTTTATTTTGTAAGACTTGGATTGGCTGTAATAAAGACTTGGCGGCTGATCCCCAACTAAGTATTCCATATTGCAGTCGTGAATGAAATAAACTATAATAAACTACTTTCAGCGTTTTTAAATTCAAAATGTGTCTTAGTCTATAAAAAATACCGACGGTTTGTGATAACTTCTTGGCTAGTTGACTAATATGCGGTTTCCAGCTTAAATTTTCATCTATCGTGACCCCCAAATATTTTATACTATTAGTTCGCTCAATTATTTTACTGCCTAGAGAGAGTTTGAAGTTAGTAGTATCTATTCCCTTATTACAAAAAAGCATAAATTTTGTTTTAGAATAATTTAAAGATAATTTATTTGCCTTAAGCCAAATATGAACCTTTTGTATTACAGTGTTCACCACAGTCTCAAGTTCGGACAGAGATGAAGCGTACTTCAAAAGAGAAGTATCATCTGCAAAAAGCGTGGAATAGAAAGAAGATGCAGCCGGTAGATCATTTATATAGCATAAAAAAAGCAGTGGGCCAATTGTAGAGCCCTGTGGCACTCCACATTTGATTATGCCCATTTCAGAAAAAAATTCCCCATTTTGAACATAGTGCTGGCGTCCGCTTAAATATGACGCAATAAGATTAAGTGATTTCCCTCTTATACCATAATGGCGTAATTTATGCAGTAAGATCGAATGGTTAACCGTATCGAACGCTTTAGCGAGGTCCAAAAAAATCGCGCATGTTATCTTTTTGTTTGTACTATTATGCATTATCATTTCCTTAAGCCTAGCTATTGCTAATTCAGTAGAATAATTATTTCTAAAACCAAACTGAGAGAGACTTAAAGAACATGTTTTTTCAAAAAAATATTTGATTCGATTATATAAAATATTTTCATACATTTTGGCTACTTGCGATAAGAGAGAAATAGGCCTATAATTGTTTGGGTCATATTTAATCCCCTTGTTATGGAGTGGCACAACCTTTGCTATTTTTAAAATATCTGGATATACACTTTCATGGAAACTTTTGTTAAAAATTTCAGACAAAATAGGTGACAAGACAAACTTGGCAATTTTGAAAATCTTTATGGGTATGTCATCACTACCTACAGCCTTGTGCACATCCAGTTTGTCAATTTGCTGTTCTATTTCCAGGGGAGTTGTATCACGAAGGAAAAAAGACTCATTCATGCTTGTCCCAAAGTGTGGTGGTGTGCTGCAACTGGACTTATTCGTGAAGCAAGTTTAGGACCAACTTCTAAAAAATGTTGGTTAGGAGCAGTACAAATTGCATTGCCATCATTAATTTTATTTCCATTAACTATAAGATAGGAAGGTAATTTGTTTTTCTTTGATGAAGTGCCAATAATTTCACGAATCTGAATCCATGTTTTTGCAATATCTTTTTGGTAGCGAGAAAGAACTGCTTTATAATAATCTTGTTTAGCCTTAGTAAGAGCCCTAGATAACTTGTATTCTCTTAACTTTAACTGAGATATATTTTTACAACATTTACTGTACATCTTATTTTTGGTTTTTATCGATCTGTAAAGATCCTTGGAAATCCATGGTTTCAGCTTCAGTATACTATTTTTTGAATTAGCTTTATAGGGAATATGCTGGTCAACCACAGATTTTATTGTATTTATAACTGAATTGAAATTTTTATTTATATCTGGACTGGAAATATCTTTATCAACTACGAGACTTAAGTGATCTTTGAAATTATCAGCATTAAAGTTACTATAATCACGTCTCAGTGTTTTAATTTGTGACTTCTTGCATTTGAGGTGTATATGAGCCAAGATGGGGAAATGATATGAGATGTCATATTTTATGATGCTAGTATTCGTTTTATATTCTAGCTTATTAAAATAAAAATGATCTAGTAAAGTAGCTGTTGAACTAGTAACCCGTGTGGGTTTATTAATACCACATAAAAAACCACAAGAATGGACACTATCAACATATTTAGTTACATTATTATCAATTTGATATTTCATCAAATCAATATTGGAGTCACCAACTATAAAGGCACACACACCCCTAGAGCTTATTACATTTAGGGACTTAACAAATTTATCAAGGAAATCATCCAATTTATATGATGGGTGCCTATATACAACAGCTATAATAATGATTTTTGTGTTTTGGGTTGATCCAGCTTGATCAATTTCAATCCATAGGTCTTCGCATCCAGTAGAATTTAAATTAAGATCGTCGCGTATATTAGATGTGATACTTTCTAATATAATATAGACCAACACCTCCTGCTTTAGTGCAAGAGTCTTTACGAATAAAATCATATCCAGTAATGCGTAATGGATACATCAGGTGAGGCCTCTCCCAGCTTAGTCTCAGAAATACCCATTACAGCAGACAATATTTTGCTTGGACCTAACAGATATTCAATTTGTGGACTATTTTTGTGTAAACTTCTTACATTAAAATGAAGAATATTAAAACTTGCATTGCAATTTGACATCAGTTTTTTAACAACATTATTAGGATCAATATATTCACATCCAAGTGACCAGTCATCTACATCAGTCAAACATGACTGGCTGATTGAATTAGCAGTGGAACAGCATTGGTCTTTCATTACAGCCCTGATTGGTGAACTACTGATCAAGCATATATTACAATGGTGAGAAGTGTCTGAATTTCCTAACAGACCAAACTGCTCATGGTTCAGCTTCGAGCAGGTAAAATGAATTAGATTATTGCATAAGTCGCATGGGATGAAATTATCATTATCTGTGAAATGGTTATGGCAGACTTTACATTTTTTAGAAGAAGACATTAGAATAATGGTAACATAAAATTACACATGAAAACCTCATGATTATAAACAAGGGTATATAATAATAAATGATCATCGAATTTTATATAGATCATCCTCATTCAAGATTTTCAGACTATTTGCCGACTCATTTTTTCTGACGTACACATTTCCTGAGTGCTGGAGTGTGTCCATATGTATTTATACTTAAATTGATCTTCCAAAATACGAGCTTCATTATATAAAAACTTTTGCCATTCTGTTAAATGTTAATTTATAAAAATTTTTTTACCTCCATTCTCTTTAATGAGGTTAGCTTTTTTACGATACAGTTAATTCCTCTTGTCTCGTCTGCAAAAGCGAACAATTATTGGAGATTTCTCACCCGCAACCAGTCTATGAGAGGTAGAAATGTCTTTATAATTAAGTTCAACATAAACCAGTTTAGCAACTTCAATTACTTTCTGGTTTGTGATTTCATTTTTCTGGTAAGCTAAGGTATTCCCACAATTTCCAGATTTAACCTCCTGCCATACTGTTGTGAATGTTCTTGAACTTCAGCAACATATTCAAGTTCATCCTCAATAGATGATAACATTTGTTGCAACTCATTTATTGCAGCTTTTTGTTTCAAAACCAAATCCTCAAGTTGTAACACTTTTTGCTTATCTTCAGATTGGCTTCTTTGAAAATTGTCTTGTTTCATTTTCACTTCATTTACAGATTTAAAGATTGGCTTAAAGAAGAAGTGTTTTTTTCAATGCTGTCAATTCTAGCTCCAAGTTGTTCTTGAATCTAGGCTAAATTGATTAAAACTGCTTCATTCTTATTACACATGATTTCAATTTTATTGGTTTGCTTGTCGAGATAAGATGGTAATACCTCCCCAAGCTTTTTGTCTACTGCAGTTACCGCTGTGAAGACAACTGTGAAGTGACTCTCACGGTGACCTTTGTGTGCAACCAAGCGAAAAGTTCAAATATCATATCAGAATCGGAGGCGGGACTAAATTCCATACACATTGGGAAGCGAATGAATATAAAAATACAAAAATAAAGTTATATTCGGTATTTCTGTGAATTGGAACAATAAGTGCGTGCCAAAAAATGTAAAGTGCGAATCATCAAACAACAGCTATAAATATGAGTTTTAAACTAAAAAAATGCAGCACGAGTAATTACTTTAAAATAAATATCGTAAAACATACACTTTTCAAACATTACCACATGTCTTTCCGCCCAAGAGGGGCGAGATTTTATTGATTGATATAAAAAAGATTCATACACTCTACACAATACAATTTGAGTCGATGGGTACAAAATTTTAAAATTATGTGTAATCCATTGCTGAAAAAAGCCTATTTCGCCTATATCGTCATAGGTGAAAAATCGTAAATTTATGCACTTTTCAAACATTACTCACATGTCTTTCCGCCCAAGAGGGGCGAGATTTTATTGATTGATATAAAAAAGATTCATACACTCTACACAATACAATTTGAGTCGATGGGTACAAAATTTTAAAATTATGTGTAATCCATTGCTGAAAAAAGCCTATTTCGCCTATATCGTCATAGGTGAAAAATCGTAAATTTATGCACTTTTCAAACATTACTCACATGTCTTTCCGCCCAAGAGGGGCGAGATTTTATTGATTGATATAAAAAAGATTCATACACTCTACACAATACAATTTGAGTCGATGGGTACAAAATTTTAAAATTATGTGTAATCCATTGCTGAAAAAAGCCTATTTCGCCTATATCGTCATAGGTGAAAAATCGTAAATTTATGCACTTTTCAAACATTACTCACATGTCTTTCCGCCCAAGAGGGGCGAGATTTTATTGATTGATATAAAAAAGATTCATACACTCTACACAATACAATTTGAGTCGATGGGTACAAAATTTTAAAATTATGTGTAATCCATTGCTGAAAAAAGCCTATTTCGCCTATATCGTCATAGGTGAAAAATCGTAAATTTATGCACTTTTCAAACATTACTCACATGTCTTTCCGCCCAAGAGGGGCGAGATTTTATTGATTGATATAAAAAAGATTCATACACTCTACACAATACAATTTGAGTCGATGGGTACAAAATTTTAAAATTATGTGTAATCCATTGCTGAAAAAAGCCTATTTCGCCTATATCGTCATAGGTGAAAAATCGTAAATTTATGCACTTTTCAAACATTACTCACATGTCTTTCCGCCCAAGAGGGCGAGATTTTATTGATTGATATAAAAAAGATTCATACACTCTACACAATACAATTTGAGTCGATGGGTACAAAATTTTAAAATTATGTGTAATCCATTGCTGAAAAAAGCCTATTTCGCCTATATCGTCATAGGTGAAAAATCGTAAATTTATGCACTTTTCAAACATTACTCACATGTCTTTCCGCCCAAGAGGGCGAGATTTTATTGATTGATATAAAAAGATTCATACACTCTACACAATACAATTTGAGTCGATGGGTACAAAATTTTAAAATTATGTGTAATCCATTGCTGAAAAAAGCCTATTTCGCCTATATCGTCATAGGTGAAAAATCGAAAAATTTATGCACTTTTCAAACATTACTCACATGTCTTTCCGCCCAAGAGGGGCGAGATTTTATTGATTGATATAAAAAAGATTTATACACTCTACACAATACAATTTGAGTCGATGGGTACAACATTTTAAAATTATGTGTAATCCATTGCTGAAAAAAGCCTATTTCTATATCGTCATAGGTGAAAAATCGTAAATTTATGCACTTTTCAAACATTACTCACATGTCTTTCCGCCCGAAGGTGCGAGATTTTATTGATTGATATAGAAAAGATTCATACACTTTACACAATACAATTTGAGTCGATGGGTACAAAATTTTAAAATTATGTGTAATCCATTGCTGAAAAAGCCTATTTCTATATCGTCATAGGTGAAAAATCGTAAATTTATGCACTTTTCAAACATTACTCACATGTCTTTCCGCCCAAGGGGGCGAGATTTTATTATTGATATAAAAAAGTTCAAACTCTACACAATACAATTTGAGTCGATGGGTACAAAATTTTAAAATTATGTGTAATCCATTGCTGAAAAAAGCCTATTTCTATATCGCATAGGTGAAAAATCGTAAATTATGCACTTTTCAAACATTATCACATGCTTTCCGCCCAAGGGGCGAGATTTTATTATTGATATAAAAGTTCTAAAAGTCTACACAAACAATTTGAGTCGATGGGTACAAAATTTTAAAATTATGTGTAATCCATTGCTGAAAAGCCTATTTCTCAAATATCGCATAGGTGAAAAATCGTAAATTATATACACTTTTCAAACGTTAGTCACATGCTTTCCGCCCAAGTGGGGAGAGATTTTATTATTTGATATTAAAAGTTCATAAGTCTACACAAACAATTTGAGTCGATGGGTACAAAATTTTAAAATTATGCGTAATCCATTGCTGAAAAAGCCTATTTCTCAAATATCGCATAGGTAAAAATCGTAAATATATGCACTTTTCAAACATTAGTCACATGCTTTCCGCCCAAGTGGGGAGAGATTTTATTATTTGATATTAAAAGTTCTAAAAGTCTACACATACAACTTGAGTCGATGGGTACAAAATTTTAAAATTATGCGTAATCCATTGCTGAAAAGTGCCTATTTCTCAATATCGCATAGGTGAAAAATCGTAAATATATACACTTTTCAAACGTTAGTCACATCGCTTTCCGCCCAAGTGGGGAGAGATTTTATTATTTGATATTAAAAGGTTCTAAAAGTCTACACAAAACAACTTGAGTCGATGGGTACAAAATTTTAAAATTGTGCGTAATCCATTGCTGAAAAAGCCTGTTTCGCATATATCGGCATAGGTGAAAAATCGTATATCATATATCATTCGATCGACGTACACAAAGGAAACAAAATATTCTTAAAGTTTGAGATTTATTCATATTCATTCATATTTATTCATAATAAGGTACATACACTATACATACATCTCAAAAACATACATTGCGTATATATATATGTAATCAGTAATTGATAATTTTATATCTGAGCATGTCGTTTAGCATATTTAATGGTCTAATGATAAATAAAACACATTTGATGCATTTACACTAATGAAAATCCAAATTGTCCGATAAAAAAGAAATTGATAAAATTATCTGAACAAAATTTACCTGTTACGCCAGTAAGGGAGGTTTAGGGGTGCTGTCCCTTCTGGTGAGCCCCCAGACTAGTGGAGCGATGTAGCTGCCTTAAGCTCCATTCTCTACTGGCACCAACAGGCAACAGTAAAGCCATGAGCCATCATCCATCCTTCGTGTTGACTAAACTTCTGAAAAAAATATGTGATATGCTAACTAATTAATATTTAATATAATTCTACACGGACTCGAGACCAATAAAATGTGGACAGTATGCCCGTGGTTGATTGTCAGCATGTTCGTGGTTTGCCCGTTATCCCTTTGAAAGATTGGCTGCGCATTTTACTGTTCAGAATTTAAACA